AGACGAAGAGAAATAGTACATGTATCTTTTCTCCGTCGTAAAAACACTTTATTTAGAATGACTTGCCTTGATCAAAGTAATAAAGCAAGGCTGCTGTCCTCCTATGGTTATCCCTTATTAGAAAACCACATTTAAAAAATGTATCTGTTTTAGAAAATATAGTAATTGTGAAGAAACAAGTCTCTGTACCTCTGGATCACCATTGAATGGCATTCTTTCCTCATAAACCCATAGTCAGAAATGTCCTCTAATGATAAAACTTGCTTGAGGTCAGTTTGCTTAGCAAGAGGTGTGTAAAAGGTCTGTGTCTGATGAATAGCACATGCCTACTTGTTTTCACATTAGTAGCCTGAACCATGTGTATATACGAAGAGTAACGCAATGTTGGGCCGGGTTCAAACTACTAACCAAGCAATGTTTTGTGCCAGGCGCACAGTCTGGGAGCGGAGATGCATGTCGAAAACCTGATCAAGTTTGTATGATTTCAGATAACGTGGTCTGTCTGTCTGTCTGTCTGTCTGTCTGTCTGTCTGTCTGTCTGTCTGTCCACAGATATCTGCCGGTCGAGAACAGAGCGTTCAAAAGTGACAATCTACAAGGCTCGATGTGGTCAATACGGAAAACACGACCAATCTGTCCATCAGCTGGCCAAAAGGCATCATATTCATACGGAGAAATGCACCGTTTTCGACTTCCTTAACTCGGAGTTCAGTTGCCCCAATTATTACGTGTAAGGTGGGAGAAGTACTCAGATCAAGTAGGCTACTTAAGTAAAAGTAATATAATAATAATAATAATAATAATACATTACATTTATAAAGCGCTTTTCCTGGTGCTCAAAGCGCTTAATATATACTGCAGGGTAGCTTGTGAATTTATACCAGATGTAACTAAAGTCTGATTTAAGAGTTGATTATATTTCACATAATTAATCCAAATCTGTAAAGTAACTAAAGGTATTAAATACATGACTGTAGTGGAGCAGAATTACAAAGAAACAAAAGTGGAAATACTTAAGTACCTCAAAATAAGTACAGTACTTGAGTAAATCTACTTAGTTACTACCACCACTGCAGGTTAGTCATGTGTGTTAGCAGCTCATAATCCACATTATACATAACATAAATAAATGTTAATTCTGTTTCAAATGTGTTTAGTTTTTCCTTTAAAAAGTAACAAAAATAAAAATAATGTTAAAGTACGGGATCGATAAGCAGTATTTGTAATTGTTTCAATTAGGCCTCATTATTTCACAGTGGCACAGGATCATCTGCCAATACAAGCACTTTTGTTTTGTTGTTCAATCCATAATAAAATAGGGGGGGGCTCGAAAATATTTCCAATTACCCAAGGGGGGCCTGAGTGAAAAAGGTTGGGAACCACTGGATTAACGCATGGTTTTCCTCAATTACATGTGCGTGTTTGGCAATGTACGCAGAAGGCAAGTCCTCTTAAATTACATTGAGTGCTTTTTGCAGCGCTTCTAGATGAATACACATAGAAGTATCATCCACATTTTTATGTGACACACTGACATTTCCAGACACTTAACTGTAGCCTCTACAGTTACGTACGGCATAAGGCCATGAAGCACAGCATAATCGTTACAGCTGCCTCTATGGAAAAGCCACAGGAATGGAGGAAAGGATGTCCACACACCCCTCTCTGCCCTCACTCTCCACTTGTTGGATGTAGAGTGTTCCCCTTGTTGAAAACATTCTTGCCTGGGGTTACTGTTTATGAATCAGTCAATTGTGCTTTTCTGTAATCAATATTTTACGGGCTTACAAAGATCATATAATGCTTTTTTTGTTACAGCTTTCCACCCATTATCTTCTCTTGTTGTAGATCATTTTCCATCACATGGCTCTTCCCTTTTGTAATCTGTGACCAAACTGTCCTTTCCGAAACCACGAGAGACCTGCTCCCCTAGTTGGCTCTGGCCTGTTGGCTATTTGGGAACAGAAGCCTTCTTTGTGAAGCTCTGATTAGTTCCACAGTGCAACTCAAAAACAAAAGAAGACGTGCTGAAAGCAATACTTTAATGGGTAAAAAACTGTGTCTGCAAAAAGAACAAAATTAAGCTTCTTGATTTGGGAGAGGTCATACTTTCCACCTAGACGTGCAAACATATGTAAATACAACACACCCAAACATACCTTGTCGTTGAGTCTGGAGAAGTCTGTGTACCTTCGAAAGACAACCCAGCTCTCATCTGCAGTCTTTCTTACCAGAACTTTAAAGACCTGCAGCAAAGAAAAAAAGTCTTGTTTATGACCCCAAAAGTATAGAGTTCTTGCATTTCGCTAAGCGCTTGTAGATTCTTTGTTTCAAATTAATAATGTGTGTTGAGTAAATGTTGACATTACACTTTTTATCTTTAGTACGCATCATTCTGTGTGCTTGTCCTCAATGAGCATGTGTTTGCTCATGTGTTTATCCTGTCACTGGAAACTTAAACAAACTGATCAAAGTGCTGCCAATCAAAAAGTCCTTATAGGCTTAAAAAAAACTTAGCATTTTAACGTAGCTGGAGAGTTGTGCGACAGATATAAATAATCAAAAAGGCTGTCTTTGTGGAGGCTTGTTTTCTGGTTTCATACCGTGAATTTAGCCCTCTCCTCCATGACCTCATACCCCAGTAAAGTGGGGGTAATAGGCCTGTCCTCGTCTAGCTGACTTTGAGCAGGATCTGATATGGAGCGGGGACAGCTGGAGTACTCTATGGAGGGCTCCAGAGTGCCGTTCACCCTGGCTCGCGTGACAGGGCTCTGGGAGGGTGGTGGTGTCCTGCTCCGGCTGCCGCAGCGTGAGTGGCGCTGGGGACCTAACAATCCACATTCTCTTTCGTTGTTCTCCCCGGCCAAGCTGTTTGAGACGCTGCCCAGAGACGAAGCTCGCTGTGGTCTTCTCAGCTTTCCGTTAACTCCTGACAAGGCTCTGCCCATCGGCACAGGTACAGGCACAAAGGGTGATGCCATCCTTCTGAGCTACCTTCTTACTCCTGCCCCGCCACAGCAGTAGTCAACAAGGTTCTTCACACTGACCTTGCTTTGCTCCGTTGCCGCTGTGTGAGGAAGTGCAGCAGCCCTCGCCCTGAGAAGCTGATGAAGACTCTGAGCACCCTGCACAACAAAGAAAGGAATCATTCGGTATGTTCATTGTATTTATCATGATCAAAATGAACTCCCCTTAACACAGCCTGCATAAATGGGAAACTCTGATTCCCTTAAATCCCAGTATTAAACAAAGGATCTGTCAGCCAACATCATCCTGAAATAAGGGTACCAGACTGTGAGGGCAGATGAATTATTGACATGTCATTTATCATTTATGGGTTTGTGCATTATGTGTAAAATTCATGACGGAAAAACCCTGTGAAGATCTGTAGGTAAACAGTCTTTCAGATCGTCTTGTCAATTGATTAGCTTTTATGCATCTGTTCCATTAGAAGCCCGACCACTCCCACCTGCAATGCTGCAAAAAGGATGGAGTCAGTAGCTTTGGTTTTTAGATAAAGAAAGAGGAACCTGCGTGTTGGTTTTCGTGCAAGAGCAGGCCTGGGATAGATTTCTGATCTTACTGAGAGGCTGTCAGTTACCTGTCAAATGATTTAGCATAAATTCCGCATCAGTGGAGCAGTTAAAAGCCAGCCCTGTGTCTCTGGATGAGTATGAATTATAAAAAACACTAACACATTATTAAACATGTCATAGGTGTTAATAATGCCAAAATAAAAATGTCATTGTCATATCGTGGCCGGAGAACAAAAGGAATAAACATATGGAAACTGTGAATATATAATTAAAAGACTGAATGGTAAAAGGAGTTAACAGAATTAAAAAGGTTACATTTATTGCTCATGCTGCTTACTCAGTCTTGACTGCAGCTATTAAAAAGAACACATGACGACAGAGCTTGGACTAGGGCCAGCATGACAACAAAACGTTGGCTATCTGATATCTTACTTTAACTATACTTTTAAGCTGCTGTTGATGTAGGTAGCGTTTGGGAGGGAACGTTAGCAAGTAAGCTAACTAAACGACGACTAATGACGTCCTGAAAACTACGAACTCCGTCACCAAAATGTTGTAATGTAACGCTAGTATTTGTATAACAGCGATGCTTCTCGGTTAACATGAGGCACAACGTGCAGCCAAAATTGTCAATATTACCGTTAAGCTCTGTAATGTAGTAAATACTGAAAAAAAGAAGAAGAAAATCACAACTTAAGTCACGTCAACAGCTGCTGCTAACGCTAGCAGCCCTACTAACCTTAACGGTTGCTTGCGATTCACACCCGCAAAAAGTGAATGCTAACACACATTGTGTTTAAAACTAAAGCTTTAAAACGCTGAATTATAATACACTCATGCCTTATCTAGAAGCAATTCAGAATAGTCGTTTGAAAGTCTTCTTTAATTTTGTTTCAGGTATGTTGACACGCTAAATAAACATATTTTTGGACGTCGTTTGGTGTGTCCTCCACACCATTGAGAGAACCTGGGATATAAGGCTATCATTGCCTTCAAGTTAGCTAGTAAGCTAGGACAGCCTATGTGCACAAAGCTGACGCATGATGACACCGGCTTTAGCTTACCGTAGGAAGCCAGTATCCGTCCCCTTCAGAAAGTAAGGTTATTACATACATAAAGCCTGATGTCTTGATATCCTGTTGCTGTTAATCCTCTGCAATATCTCCTCTCCTGTCTTCCTCATGTTTACTCGTCTGGATTCTGACCAAGACAGGTACAGTGCTTTAAGATAGCCACTGGAGGGCGCTGTAGGATACATAATACTGAACATGAAACGACTTGAATCCATTAAAAACCCATTAATTATTGCATCCATCCAACCATCTATCTATATTTGTTATGGTACTGTGGAGTGTCTGTGGTTAGCACAAAACACACCCATGTACACCCTGTAGCCAAAACATAGGGTGGGTGTGTCTTTTTTGCTGATGGGTGTGATATACTTTCTCAGTTGTTGCCAGGCCTACATAACTTGGGTGTGTCAGGTAAAAAGAATTACACAGATTGCTCAAACCAATCTTTCTTAAAGTGAACCATTCCACACCACTTGATCCCCTGAAGAAGAACCTCTGTCAGTAAGTTGATGTTCCTTTGTGCAATTTAAATTTAGTTGATTTTGTTGAAAATGATTGTAAAGGATAACAGCGGTCAACCAGGTTAATGCCACTAACTGTTTCTGATTTACAGCATTCCCTTTTCACCTGGTTCCCAAAGGCAATAGGTGTAGACTATTGATGCAATATCTTGGGGATTTTTAAGTACCTAATATAATTTAGATTTACCGGTAAGTGACAAGATTTTGAAATAGGATTTGGAACAATAGAGATTTGTCTGCACGTCTGGGGAAGGGAGAGCATTTTTGGGTAACAGTGCCGAGCTGTAAAATAAAACACAATTGCAAAAGCTGCTAAAAATGGATAACATACACAAATTACAGAGTTGGCAACTCTTACCTCTTATCAGGCTAAACAAAGACTGATTTATATCATTTTAAACTTTTATTTAAAGCTTTTTTATTTCACATAATGGCTTAACCTTATCTAAACAGGTAAGTGCAAGTATTCACAGAAAGGTATGCTGTTTATAATGCAGTGATTTATGTTCTGCTCTGCATCAGACACAATGGCGACATCACCCCCATCCAAGATATCCAAGGCCAACACCACCTTCGCTCTGGACCTTTTCAAAAAGCTCAGTGATGCCGACAAGACCGCAAATATCTTCTACTCCCCCTTCAGCATCTCTTCAGCCCTGGCTATGGTGATGCTGGGGACCAGGTGCAAAACATCTGCACAGATGTCAGAGGTACATTATACACACACACACACACACACACACACACTCACATTGTGAAAATGAACAGCAAAATATTTTAGTTCTCGTGCTAACACACCCATTTGGAAGTGTTTAGACTGTACAGGCACGCATTCAAATGTCGTTACAAGTGGGTTGATGATGGTGTTGGAATTTCGCAAACGTATTATTGTATGAAGAAAAATAGGCCTGGGTTTGGGTTATAAGCTTCATCATGTGCACAGGTTTTATTCTTATTCTAAGAAAATTCATTCTCCAATCAATGTTAAAAGCATTGGTTTAAGGACTTGTTTTTAGACAAAGAATGATATGAGAATTGATATGAGGTGAATTCCTACTGGGAGAACTTGCAGAGCTAGGGTGTGGTAGAGAAAGTGCCTGCACATGCAATAATAACTCTTTCTGTCTCCCAGCAACAGTAAGAAAGGGCAGGGATCTGTTTAATCTTGCCTTGGGTTACAGGGAGAGGAGTACTTAATTGAGTTAGATACGAATATTTTCCATTCATAAAACTCAAATACACATCTAAAAATGATTTAAAAAACTATGAAGTATAACTTGTATGCACAGCAAACCAAAGCACATTTACACCAACTTATTATATCAGTGCTGTAAAATAACTTAGATACAGGAAAAAGAGATGTGTGAGTTGGAAAAGTGGTCCCCCTATCATTTTTATTTTATGGCAAATGTATTTTATGGGATGGAATGCAAACTTGGCCCCCTGTATTAGACAAATTATGACTTTCTTTGTTTTTTATGGAGTAACAATTCAGCCTGATGAATATAGGGCCATGAAAAGAAACAGCTAAAGCAAGGGGCAGCTTCACAGTTATGATATGATGTAGGGTGTTGACCGTTTATGATGAGTTCACAATGGAATATTACTTGGAGGGATTTTGTTGTAATCCTGCCTGAGAGTCATCAGTCTGGCAGGCGAAAACGTGCATGTGCATGCATGCCTTGATGACTCAACATAAGAGTTTATTTTCTTAATCCAGCCACTAGAGAGTGCTTTTGCAAGCCTTTGTATTGGTAACCTGTTCAATGAACTGCCCTGTAACACTGCTCTTCTTCTACATTGATCCACCTGGTTAGAAAAACTTCCATTTGCCCCCCCCCCCCAGGTCCTGTGTTTTACTGAGACCCATAAACCAAAGGAGTTAGGAGCAGAGACAACATTGCAGTCGCCAATGCAGTCGCAGATGCAGACGCGGATGCAGATACAGGAGCAGATGCAGAAGACCAGCAGACTGCCACAGTATCTGCGCAAGGTGGTAACAAAGCCAAATGAAAATAAACTATTAATTATAATGCTCGATTAGGTTGTCTGTTGAGGTGATTGAAGATTTGTGTTCCAAAGTATTTCACCCTTATTTCCCCACTGATGATTTGATATGCTTTGATGCATCTTTAAAAATGTCATTAGGAATCTATAATTTGGAAGTGTGATGTGAAGCTCAAAACTGAAAAACAAGCTATTAATGCAGTAGATGGAAAATGTTACGATCTCTACAGAAACAAAAGCCTTTAATCCTAAATAGTATTTGGTCCACAATGAACAAGAGACAATGAAATAACAAAACAGTGGGTCATTGTGTGTAAAAATGCTTAAAAAGTATAAATGCTAATGGTGTTAGGCTTGTTGGATGGACTGTCTTTGCATTTTATTCATTTCAAAAAGCTGCTGTGGGCCTAATAGGGAAAAATGAAACTTCTGACACATCCGAATCATGCAAGGTGTTGCCTGAAATCAGTGGAATTACATGAAATATTGAGGACAATGACCATAAAAATAACAAGGCCGTGTTCCATGCTAGGACATAGACAAAAAATACACTACCGTTATCTTAAATAAAATAAAATGGACTACAATTTGGCCTACAGTATGGATTCATGAACAATAAGTAACATTTAAAGGTGCTTAAAGCTTTAATGTTCTCCTTTGATTACCTTAATAATCAACATACAGTAACTGTAGCATTGATAACAAGGGCAAATTATATTTGGTGTCTGTTCTAATCATTAAACAGGTAAGCTGTTCAAAAGGCCAATGATCCGCATTATACATAGGAGTTGTCTTTTATCTAGCTGTGTTTATGGAACTTCTTCTCTGGCTGATTTGCAGTGCCTGAAGCCTGAGAAAGATGAAGATGAGGTCCACGCAGTCTTCTCCAAACTTCTGAGTGAGCTCATCAAGGACGACGCTCCGTATGCCCTCAGCCTCGCCAACAGGCTTTACGGGGAGCAGTCCTACCAGTTTGTTGAGGTGGGTGTATTACTTTGTGATCCTCCACTAACGTTTTATTTGCATATCCGGGATAGCCAGATGTATCATACTTGTATAAAACTCATGCAAATTATATACTATTCTTAAAGTATTTCTTAACTCAAGTTCAAAGCATAATGAGTCTTAAAATGTGCTGTTTATCATTCCAGTGTTTCTTAGAAGAAACCAAAAAGTACTACAATGCTGAGCTGGAGTCTGTGGACTTCAAAGCCAGCGCAGAAGCAGTCAGGGTCAACATCAACAGCTGGGTGGAGGGGCAGACGCAAGGTACAGCTCACAATAACTCATACACTCGCAACATTCTTTTTTTGCCTACCTTTTTGTTTTCATATTTTATATTTAAATGCTGTAAAGGTGGATCAAAAATGTAATTTGGCTGTAAACATTGCTAGCTGCCTTAATGATGGTATCTTCTTTCCTTACTGTTCACCAGGTAAAATTAAGAATGTGCTTGCCGAGGGTGTGGTGGATAACATGACCGGGTTGGTGCTGGTCAACGCCATCTACTTCAAAGGGAAATGGGACAAACAGTTCAAGGAGGGTTCTACTGTTGATGCTCCGTTTAAAATGAACAAGGTAACACTGCAGAACAACTGGGTGGTTTCTGGTCTTTTGGAAATGATTAGGCAGTTAACCTGACCATATTTCTAATCTAATTGCAACCCAGTTTGTTAGGAGTAGGGAAAGCAACATAAACCAGATGTTCTTGGTATTTTCTAAAGTTATTTATTGATGGTACTCAGATCAAATGGACTTTGATTGGAATATGATGGATATATGATTCTGAAATTAGCAATTCTGCAGATTGAATACTTTGACTTTTAGTACCCTATGGGACAATTGAAAGCTAATATTTTCGTATGATGGGACTCAAAAGGAAAAGTGCTTGTTGTGTTTGCTGCTTTCCTTAGAATGACTCCAAATCGGTGAAGATGATGCAAGAGAAAAGTAAATTTCTTATCACCTCCATTACCGAGTTCAACTGCCAGGTAATATACATGATAATGGTTAAAAAAAACAATATATTTATGTATGTTAAGCAAAATTCCATACCTTTAACAATTTGGTGATTAGATTCAAAATGCAAAATTGAATGTGTCTGCACAGATCCTGGAGATGCCTTATAAAGGAAAAGACCTCAGCATGCTCATCTTCCTGCCCAATGAGATCGAGGACGAGACAACGGGCCTTGAGAAGGTAGAACCAGTATATGGGTAGAACACAGACACACACCGTAAACTAATGCACAAACTGGCACACTAATAAATGATATTGTCTCCACACTAGCTGGAGAAGGAGCTGACCTATGAGAAATTTGTGGAGTGGACTCGCCCAGACATGATGAGTGAAACTGAGGTGGAGGTTAGGCTGCCTCGATTCAAGATGGAGGAGTCATGTGACTTGAAAGACATCCTGATCAGCATGGGCATGGTGGACGCTTTTGATGTCACGATGAGTGACTTTTCAGGTGAGACGTTTGCCATAAATATATATACTGTATATAAACAGCATCATTACTTTAAGAGCACAACATTTCTAAACAGACAAATAAAAGAGTAACACTTTTCCATGCAGAAATAAATACAAGGATGTCTTTCAAAAGCCAAAAAGGTTGCATTTGAAATCTAATCAAGCTTCAAGAAAACATTAGTTCTGTAAAACACAAGATTGCCTGTATTACTTATAAAGCTTGCATCATAAATAATTTCTCCTCTGCTGACAGCCATGTCCCCAGCAAATGACCTGGTAGTGTCAAAAGTCGTCCACAAGGCTTTTGTTGAGGTCAACGAGGAGGGAACTGAGGCTGCTGCTGCCACTGCTGTCGTGCTAACAGAACGCGCTTTATTGGTTCCGCTTACGTTCATCGCTGACCACCCCTTCCTCTTCTTCATCCAACACAATGTCACCAAAAGCGTTCTCTTTGCTGGCCGATACTGCTCCCCTGAGTGAGCGCTGCTGTATGTCCTGCAGGCACAAAGACAAGTTACGGGCCCTGCACTCCTCCTACATAAATCAATAATTTATAATACTTTAAAAGCTCATTAGTTTCTTTTTTAAATTGCTCTTACCATGTTTATGTTAGCAAAATAATACACAAAAGCAAATTCCTGTGTTCCTGGACTATATTTTCCAACCATCCACTAGATTCGGTCTTTGTCCGTGTTTTTCTTTGACATCCTGCCCACATTCTCCTTCTCTGTGATCCACATCCTATTTTCACATTCCATTCATTATATTATTCATTCATCTGTCCCAAGTGGAACGTTTTAGCAATTGTTTCCCACGGTCTTAATAACACATGGTCTAAAATGTCATTATTTCTTCTGTCCATATATTGAGTGTATATGAATAATCTTTTCTTGTAATTGAGTATGAAATAAAATGGTCTTACTTCTGTCTATGCAATCTGAATGTCTTACAAATCATGGCGTTCTCGTCTTTATCTAGAGAGAATATATCAATTATGTAAAGTGTTGTGAGAAGGAAGAAACAGAATAAAGAGTCTTTTGTCATATTTTTGTTTTCGTCATATTGTTTCATGAAGTGAGAGCTAGGTCATTATAACACAATCAGTGGAAATAAATCAGGGGTGGAAAATCTAAGCAGAGGTAGTCTGCAGTTCATATTTCTGGGCTCAAACAAATACAATAAAAACATTGTAGAGGTCCTTTTCCTAGTATGTATGATCCCTCTCTATAAGAAGGCCAACGCAGGGACAGTTCCTCTGTCCTAAAAATCTTCAAATGATATGTTTTTAATTTCCTAAAGTGTTTTGTCGAGGCCTTGGCTGATTTATTGACTACCAAAAATAAACATTCAATAAGAGCCGATGGAAGCCTTGTATTTTGCAGAAATGTCCCAAATTGGGATCAATAAAGTGCTTCTTATCTTATCTTATTTTATAAGCAACACCACAAAAGTAACTGTCGTGGCTTCCTTCCTTGTCTTTCAAACCACTAGACGGTTCCAACTCGTTTCTTTCCTTTACATTTCTCACAGTTTGAAGTGTTGCTTGGCCTCCGATAGATGATGTTGCGATGTGTTTGCTCAAAATAAAATAAAAAACCTTTGCACATTCAACAAAGAAAATAGGCCTTTACAATATTCAAAAGAAATAGGCAAAACTCAAATGAAACAACAAACAACTTAGGTATTCTTTCTTTCTTGATGATGCTCATAACTTCATAACTTAAAGGGTACTTGTACGATTTGTATGTACGTGTATGTGTATGTGTACGGTTAAAAACTGTTCCTCGACGGCGTCTCTCAAACAGGTTGCCCATCACTGTGGCTTTAGCACAGGCGCCGTGAGAAATGTAGTCCTTTATAGTGCGTTGACTACAGACGTCACAATTAGGTGGCCTTTCTTATAAAATCAAAATACTGGCTCTAACAGTAACCAAACATTATGTGAAAAATAAAAACATTTTAGAAATGGTCTCCTTGTATTGCACATGGGGAATAAATGACTAACAGACCTTTGTCTTGGATGCCAAATAATGTCCATCTCTACCTCTCAAACACAACATAGAACAGTTTGAATGTATAAGCATCCATTCATCCATTTTATGGTTCTGTTGAGTGTTTCATTAGCAAACTCTTACAATTGACACACGACATTTACCCAACATGCGTGGGTGTGTCCTTCAGTGATTGGTGTACTCTCGACACATCTTGGAATGCTGCCAAGTCTACATGACCTATAAAGGGACAACTCAAACTGGTTTTTCTTAAACCGAACCATTCCACATCACCTGTTCGCTGAAGAAGAGCCTCTGTCAGTAAGTTGATGCACCTTATTGCCATTTCATGTTGTTGATTTTGTTGATAATGCTCGTAAAGGATACCAGGAGTTAACCGGGTTTAATTTAACTAACAGTTCTTGATTTACAGTCATTCCTTTTTCACCTGGTTTCCAAAGGCNTGTTCCCCTTTAAACTGTGTGTTTTCTCTGGAAGTTTTTCCTTGTACGATGTGAGGGTCTAAGGAAAGAGGGTGTCGTATTGTCATACTGATATTCTGTACAAACTGTGAAGTCCACTGAGACAAATGTAACATTTGTGATATTGGGCTATACAAATAAACATTGATTGATTGATTGATACAGCAGGTGCCCCCCAACCAGATTGTGCCATGATGACCACACACAAACTCACAAGGTTGATAGGTAATTGTCATTCTCTATCTCAAATGTTGTAATACGGCACAGCTGGTAGCCCAGGTCACATACAGGTCATTTGGTTATTCTATGTTTAGACTCATGACGCATCACAAAAAAGCAAGCTGACAAGCTGATCTTGAAAGGAGGGTTAAAATAATAAGTACTGCTCATCTCTTGTTCTCCTCAATCACCTTGGTCATCGTTTGTTACCCTCGATTGAGCTCCAATAAACCTTCAGCTTAAAGGCTTGTACAGACTTCCGCTGCACATCTGTGGAACGCTGCAATCCGTGGAAACATCGCTGACAGGCTGTATCCCACTATAAGGTCAGTTTAATGAATTACAATGTCATTGTAACAACTTTTCATATGAGATCACCACATGCTGGATACATTATTCTGTGTATTTTTACCCTCTTCATGACTAATATCTCAAACTAGTTAAATAATATTAAGACAAATGTTGTTTTTTTATACACAGGCTAAAATGGAGGAACCGGTTGTCCATAGGGAGATGAGGGGACACTGAGAGAGGGCAAAACTGTTAGCAAGACCATTGAGGTTAGTGTATATAACAGGCTACAGCAGGCCTGTCTCCAAAGTACAGAATTTGATACCGAGCTGAACCTTTTCATCAGTATATTTGTCACAACCCCCACGCCTGTTTTTTCTGATTGGGTATGGGTCCCCATCCATATCCAACCCCTATCTACACTTTAGCCAGAGACTCAGAAAACATCACTTATACCCCTTTCACACCAAGGCTTTTCCTGTTCTAGCTCCGTGCCAGAGCTTTTCTGGTTCAGAATCGGTTCTTCGGTTCAGCTCGTGCTCTGTTCACACCGCTCAGGGCCCATCTGGTGCTGCGTCATTGCGTCATCGTTTGTGTAATGACGTTACTGTTTGCGTGCCTGCTTCACAAAGCCAAACCGCGCGGAAACCCCTCACATTGCCAACAACAACAATGGCAGATTGCATTGAAGCGCTACTCGTTTTGGTTTTGCTCTGTCGAAACGAAATGGAACAAATGGGACAACTTTAATACCAACTTTAAAGTCGTTACATGCTACATTCAAAAGTTATTTACAATCATCATCAACTTCAACGACGATTCCGTAGGAGAAAGAAGGTAAATATACGTCCTATTCGATGGCATTAGAGCTAGCTGTTGTTAGCCTCTGCATGCGCCAAGCTCAAAATACCCAGCTTTGCAGCATTAATTACTATGGTATAACATTAAAACTAATTCTCAATGTTATTTCCACAGATCATGTTGAAGCTGGGGGAAAGGCCGATGTCGCGTGTTATTTGGACACAGCCCAGATCCGACATAAGCGTGACGTATGTGGTGCTTGCTTTCTAAATCGACAACTTTTTGGTGCTTGAAACGAACCGGATTCCGGAGCTTAGAGGCGGCTCCGCCGCGGTGTGATCAGGAAAAAAGATGATTTTTTGTTTACTACTCAAAGAACCTTACCCACCAGTGAAACACAGCGGTCATCTAAAGAGTCGATTGAGTGCTTCCCTCAGAGGAGAGAGGAACGATACTAAGGTACCGTTTTAGAATTACGTTTGTGTAGACTGAACCTGACGACGCGACCGTGTCTCGTAAGTTGGACTAACTTTTTCACCAGGAAAGTTTGCAAGGGTGTGGGGGGCCCAGAAGTTAGTGGGACTGAATGAGAGATGCGTCTAACAACTGGTTTTTCCTGCCTAGATGTGACGGAAGACATCTGACTGTGTTCTTGGTGACCCCACTATTCTTGTGTCTATAAGAATAAATTGGGTGATTTGAACTGAACGATCGAAGTCCGAAGGAGAAACCAGGCAGGCACGGGACGCGTCGACAGACTGTCTCGACACGAACGGAGTACCACTGACCACCCTACTCCCTCTTAGGTGATACAAAGAGTACGTTCTATTTAGTGTATATAAGTTGTGTTGCGGTCCACTGCCGTGTCTGTGAGATGGCTATTATAGTATATGTTCCGAGATACTGCCTTACTAGAAAAAAATTTATACTACAACTACTGTTGATCCATATAAGTATCTCCTATTGTTCGGAAGGAGGACTCTTAGATAGAGATAGTTTGTATAGTTGTACGGCCGTTGGTAGCTTCTATTTCTAGGTTTGCTATTTCCAGATGCGGGCATAGATCTTTATGATGAGAGACCATCCGTGGTGTGTGATCCGTCAGTGCCGTCTAGGTTTTCTGTATCTAGTTAATTGGTTGTGTGGTATTTTGTTTTGTGCTCTCTGGCGTTCGCGATAGTCTATTTTAGTATGTCGTCTGTTATTGTTGGGTGGGTTGTTAAGACTCCTATCGTCTAATTTATGCATAACGCCGTAGGGCAAAGGTCGCCATAGGAATACCGGAGTGTCATCACTCTTGCTCTGGCGAGATAGTCTTGTCTATTTGCTCTTGACATAGCGCTAGGTTGGTGCACGCTTACCCCTGATTGTGATTTAGTGGAGGAGGGGAGACCTGGTTTGTATTGATTACGTACTTTTCTATCTAGTCTATAAATCCGTAATGAATGAGACGGAAAAATTCAGTCACATACTACTACAATTACATTTTGAGTAAATCTTACATAAGATACTTAGATAGAGCTGTTTTAAATCACATTATATCATAACACCCGGCCGTACGAAGCCTGGTGTCCCCTTTTTACTATAAATTTCAGTATTTATAGATTGTATGTTTCTATATATAACATTTATTATTAGTAGACTATAAATTATAAGGTTGGTCTAAACTTTAATTGTAGTATGTGAGTAGTAATAGTGTAAGAGTCGCTGTCTGGTTTGTCAGACAGAGATGTTGTAGTAGCCAAAGCAGTTATTCATTTCCCAGGGTACTAGTACGGCCCGTAGAAGGATGGACTAGGTAGTGTGAGTATAGTATACAGGTATGTATTTTCTCTAGTAAACGAGCAGATCTTAAACCCACAATGTGTCAGTGTCTTGGGTCCTTCTCTCTCTCTCTGAGGTTCTCCTTATATATATCCTCTCTTGTATCTGTCCTATATATATATATCTACTATATTCTCAAAAGTAGCGTATGTCCCGACATGATATACTCGTTCTCTATATATCTACTGGAACATAAGGGAACGGTTGTCGTGGGCAGAATGTTACGTCCTTTTGGAAGTATTGTTGCTCTGTCCCTACTCCGCGATCTTGTGATTGTACATCTTTCAAGTAGGCTAGTATCTCCTTTGAAATGTACATGATTTCTATTACACTCAATGTGGGCTAGCTGAGCCAGGTGTACTAAGCAAGGACAGTGAGCAAGTGTATATCGTAATCTGACTACATTTCACAAGTTGACGTAGGAGCCATTGGTTGTGAGAGTATACATACAGATTGTCATAACGAACGACTGCCTGTAGAGGGGGAAGTGAGTGAAGACATCACATATGTTTCACTATAAAGCATAAGGAGAGACAGAGCAGTTACAGGTAGCAAGTCTGTAGAACTGATGCTTGAAGAAGCCTACGTTCTGATGACAGGAAGGTAGTCGAGACTTATTGCTAATTGGAGACAATTTACGGTATATTATATCTGAGAGAATGAATCGAGTATATAATTTTAGTTGTGTAGAACGACGTAATTAGTAAATAATAATTAATTACAATGATAATGACGAGACGTTGGTCTGTTAGTGTCAACAAAGACAGAACTAAATTGCGACGCTTAGATAGGAGGTTGTGAATTACTAACTCTAATTTGCTATCTATTGTGCTGCCCCAATATGTCCCGATTAACTTTAAGCAATGAAAGTCTGGATGAATGATTGGGGGAATCTATCTGTTATTTTCCACTCCGTGCGCGTCTCCGCGGGAGGATCAATGGAAGACTCCATGGTGAGTGGTAGTGGTGTCTGATTTAACTCATTATGACGATTATAAACTCAAATAACCCTGCGGTCTGTTTAGACCTAAGATATTATTTTGTGATATTGTTTCGTTTTTATCTCCTCCTTCGGCATATGTTGTTTCTAGTGCGCCTTCACTCTATATTAATAGACTCGGCCCAATCTGTAAGACAACCTACGTTTTCTTCTTAATCTTACTGTACTTTTTTCGGGTCCTTTTTATGGTGTTTTTTGGAGCGTTTTCGGTTTTTTTTTTTTGTGTTTTTTTTTTGTTTTTTTTGTTCGTAGTTTTTTTTGATATTAGATTAATGTAGTCTTTAAGTTTTGTTACGTAAGTTGTTGTTTGCATATCAAATTAAGTCCTCTGTCCAGACCGTTCGACTCTCCGAAGGCTTATCGTGTTTGACCCAAAGGAGCAGAGTGTGGTTGTCTGCCTGGCTCTCGATTATTTAGTTAGTGTTGTGTGTTTGTTCTTTTATGTGTGTGTTTTTTTTTTGTATTATTTTTTTTTTTTTTTCGGTTATTATATGTGTTTAGCCTTAGGCCATTATAGTCTAAAGTTTCGTGTGGTTTTTTAAGCGACCGAAATCGTGGTCGTTGGTTCGTAATTTTTGATTTGTCGATTTTTCAATGCGAATCAAACTCCGCCTCCCGTTCTCCTCCTTATCCTATTGAGTCAGCAACTTCTCAAGCTTTATCCCTATTAAGGTTTTAGAGTTCTGTAATTATTTTTATTTTGTGTTCGTGCATATAATCTTACACCTTTAGTTCATTTTCTATTTGTATTTCTAATCCATCATTTTCTAGCATTGTAGTAAAGAACAGAGTGAAGTAACATAAGCTGTGCTCGTGTGGTTTGATGCGTTGAGCTCGGGGGTAACGACACAACGGGCTCTATCTCTTCGACAACTCCCCAAAGCGCCGGGAGATACCGAAAATAGCTTGCCGTCCGTGCGTTTGGCCTAAGATGCAGTATCTGCGGGTTATACTGCGTTATAGGTCTATTAGCCGAGTGTACGCGCGCTCCGTCTTTTTTGTGACAGCGTTTGGCTCGGAGTGGTTATGTTTGGTCTGTCTTGCCTAAGACTTGGACTATCGAGATCTGTTTTCCGACTGTGCGTTCAATCTGCAACCTACATCTACTCCTATTATGTTGTAAGCTCTCCTTTTTACTTGGACGAAGTATGTGAACTACATAAATGTTGGAGTCATTCTGTTACCTTGTGTGTTTACTTTATACAGAGTTAGGTGATACAGTTTTGTTACGTTTGTAACTCCGAATCTTTTTGGTGATTCAAGGTGAAGAATCAATATTTATGTTAGATGTATTTAACGTTTTGTGAGATATTTATGTTAGATCTAGTAATATGTTCGAAGGGTTAGTTAGTATCTCTATGGCAGATTGGAGTTAGCGAAGTAAACAACATACTAAGATGATGACTGTCTCTCCGCTCTCACTACAGCGGTTGTTTGTATACCGTCAGTCAACTAGCCGCTCGTGTTTTTGGTGTACAATTATCTCTACTCTTCTCGCGTTTATCCGTTTTCGGTCATAGTCTACTAAGTATATCTACAAGTATGGCTCTCAAAAACCATGTTAAGTCTTTCCGGACGTATGGTGAGACTGTTATTGAACCCAGGTCCCTATGTGTTTTTTGTTGTTGCTGTCCTATCTCTGCCTGCGAAGCACTGGTCCCACTTCACAGATCCAACGACCACCAACACTTTCTAAATTATTTCCTTTTATGGGTATTGATATATGTTCTATCGATCAGTGATGGTTGATTTCAATTACTTCAGATATTGTTTATCTCTTCCGCCTCAATGAGAGCATATGGGAAAGTGTGGTTCTGCGGCCAAGGTCCCGACTCGAANGGTTAACGTTGTGAGTCAATTGTAACAGTTTGCTAATCAAACACTCAACAACAACATAGAACAGTTTGAATGTCGCATCCATTCATCTATTTTATGGTTCTGTTGAGTGTTTGATTAGCAAACTGTTACAATTGACTCACAACGTTAACCCAAAACATGACATGGGTGTGTCCTTCAGTGATTGGTGTAATCTCGACACATCTTGGAATGCTGCCATGCCACCATGACCTATAAAGGGACAACTCAAACTAGATTTTCTTAAACCGAACCATTCCACATCACCTGTTCACTGAAGAAGAGCCTCTGTCAGTAAGTCGATGCACCTTACTGCCATTTCATGTTGTTGATTTTGTTGATAATGCTCGTAAAGGATACCAGGAGTTAACCAGGTTTAATTTAACTAACAGTTCTTGATTTACAGTCATTCCTTTTTCACCTGGTTTCCAAAGGCAATGATGCAATATCTGTGTGATTTAACTGAGTTCCGTGATTTCCCTTTTAATTAAGTAACTAGTTGGATTAGTGACAAGGTTTTGGAACATAAATAATGGAGAAATGTCTCCACCTGTCTGGGAAAGGTAGATAATTGTTAACACTAGCAAGCTAAATTAAAACGCTAATTCAGAAGAGTATATTTGCAAGGTGCTAACATTTTAAAACCTACAAATACTGAAGAGTTGNACACACACTAAATGCGCTATTTCCGCACACACACAGAGCCGCGAGTTTGAATGACACAAGCACACTTTTATTTCCATGCAACTCTCTGATTGGTCCGGTGTCTTGCCTCTGTTGCATTCACTGAACACGGGAAATTACAGTCCTGCAGTCCTTTCTAGTGTCTTGATGAGGTTCACGTAAAGCACGGTTAATGTATTATATTATTGAGGTAGAATTGTCCGGGGCTACAGAAAAAACATTCGGGGCAGGCCAAAATATAATTTTACCAACAATGTGGAATTTATTGGCTACATATTACACAGATTATGCACAGCGGGAGCAGCAATAACCATCAAATAATAATTCAGACAGGGGAGCTCCGCACCCCCTGCCTGCCGCTAGGGGGTGCTGCAGCGCCCTCAGCACCCCCCTTCCCGCGCCCATGCACACCTCACAATGAGATAAAAAGATTGCGAAATGTCAGCCCTATCAGCAATTCACCTTAAATGGCATGTCATTGAAGTGTTGACACATTTAAAATGGGTGTTTTATTTTTCAGTGTACGTGCGTGTTTAGGTGTGTGTCTACCTCGGACATCTGGGTGGATGTGTTGCCTCTGGTCCCCAGCATTACCATAGCCAGGGCTGAAGAGATGCTGAAGGGGGAGTAGAAGATATTTGCGGTCTTGTCGGCATCACTGAGCTTTTTGAAAAGGTCCAGAGCGAAGGTGGTGTTGGCCTTGGATATCTTGGATATGGATGATGTCGTCATTGTGTCTGATACAGAGCAGAACATAAATCACTGCATTATAAACTGTAGCATACCTTTCTGTGAATAACTTTCATTTACCGTTTTAGCCCATTATGCTGAAACACAAATAGTTAAAAAAAAAAAGGTTTAATTGGTAGTGATTGGTTGTATTGTTTTCATCAACAAGTATTTGTTATTTTTTATAAATGATTGCACTTTTCATATCTTCCTAACTTATATTGTCCTTTTGTTGAATCTATGTATTAGGTCTCTTTGTTTGATTTGGCAACTCTTCAGTATTTGTAGGTTTTAAAATGTTAGCACCTTGCAAATATACTCTTCTGAATTAGCGTTTTAATTTNTGTCTACCTCTGACATCTGTGTGGATGTGTTGCCCCCGGTCCCCAGCATCGCAAATATCTTCTACTCCCCCTTCAGCATCTCTTCAGCCCTGGCTATGGTGATGCTGGGGACCGGGGGCAACACATCCACACAGATGTCAGAGGTAGACACACACCTAAATACGCACGTACACTGAAAAATAAAACGGTCCAGTTCTCATGGTACCACACCCATTTTAAGTGTATGAACAGGCATTTAATTTAAAAGGTGAGTTGATGATGGGGCTGGAATTTCGCAATCTTTTTATGCCATCGTGAGGTGTGGGTTTGGATATCAAGCTCTGTCACGTGCACAGGTTTTATTCGGGGGAAAAAACGATCTACTCTGATGTTTTTAATATTGATTGAAAGATGCCTTTTATTTAATTAAGAATGATATGAGAGGTGAGAGAACGTTTTGGTCTGGATTTCTTGTGGGGCATGGCATGAGAAAGTGCCTGCACATGCAATTAATTATTTGTCTCCCAGCAGCAGTTAGAAAAAGGGCAGGGATATATTTCATCCTGCCTTGTGTGACAGGTAGAGGAATAGTTTGTTAAATTAATTAGGATTATTTTCAATTCATACAACTCTTTAAAAAATAGTTAAAACGATAAAAAATTAGTGAGAAAGCATATTTTTACCATTCACAAATGTGTAGGGTGTCATGTCAGTGGTGTAAGGTCACTTAGGCCAGGGGTTTCTAAAGTGGGGGTCGCGACTCCCCGGGGGGTCGCGAGACCCCGAGTGGGGGTCACGAGATGATTACAAAATAAAAATGGAAAATAAAAAAAATAAAAAATAAAATTGATAAAAAAAATTTTTTTCATTATTATTAATAATAACGTTTGCATAGACATTTTTTTCTTTGACAATCCACCAGCGCAGTGTTTCTCAATTTTTTTTTTTTTTTTTCTGAAATTAATTCACTAGCACCAGAGAGTGCTTCTACAAGCTGTGTCTTTGTTTACCTGTGCATCAAACTGTATTGCCACACTGACAAAATGTAACTTAACATTGATCCAACTCATGACATACATTTCGAATGTGCTCCCCCCCCCCAGGTCCTGGGTTTTACTGAGAAAGGGCAACCAGAGCAGACAGGAGCAGAGACAATGCAGTTGCAGATGGAGTCGCAGTCGCAGATGCAGATGCAGATGCATCAGTCCAGAATTCTGCCGGAGTGTGTGCGCAAGGTTGGAACAAAGCCAAATTAAAGGCGTTAATAACGATAAGGGTAAATGAGGCAGAAATGTATTCTATTGGTGTTATGTTTGGTCTGTTGATTCAATTTTTCAGATTATTTCAAAAGGTGCTGTAGGTATAATAAGGAAAAGTTAAACTTCCGAAATCTCCCGGATTCTGGAGATTTTGCCCAATGTCATTCTAATTACATTAAATGTTTATAACAATGACTCAAATATTTGGCTTTTAGGACAGCATTCCATGCTAAAGAAGGCCATACAGTAGCATTATGCCAAATAAAAAAAAAGACTGAAACATACCTGTAGATTTTGGCCTAGAGCACGGATTCATGTTCAATTAATCACTTTTAAAAAGGTGCGTAAAGCTTTAATATTCTCCTATGGTAATGGATGCCTCAGTATTCCACTGTATGTAGAGTAATTGACTGTAGCATTGATAACCAGGGCTAACAATGATTTTGGTGTTTATTCTCATTATTTAACAGCCAAGCTGATCACAAGGCCGATGATCCATACAAGATTATGATACATAATACAAGGTTTTCTTTTATCGGTCTCTGTGTCAGTGTTGTTTTTGTGACATGCTAATCCTATCTGGCTGTTTGCAGTTCCTGCCACCTCAGAATGATGAAGAGGATGTCCACGCAAGCTTCTCCGAACTAATGAGTAAGCTCATCAAGGACGACGCTCCGTATGCCCTCAGCCTCGCCAACAGGCTTTATGGAGAGCAGTCCTACCAGTTTGTTGAGGTGTGTTTGTGCTTTTTGCTCTGCATTCATTTGTTATTGGTCAGAAAGAAAATCTCAATGTGCAGCCTAATTTCCATCAACCTGGATCGTTGCCGTATAATTAGAGTCACCAGTGTTATTATATTTTTCGATTAACACTGTTGAGAAATCTGGCATACAGTAAAAGTACTCCCTGCAAATATTTCATGATCAGTTCCACTTATCTTGGTTTTATCTCCGAATACAGTATTAACAAAAAACCATGGTATATTCAATTAGAAATCATTCAAATTATATAGTATCTCTTAAAGTGTTTCTTCTTTGTGTAATGGTTACATGCAAGTTAACAGTTGTGATGCGAGCATTTAAACATGCGGTTTATCATTCCAGCGTTTCTTATCAGAAACCAAAAAGCACTACGGCGCTGATCTGGAGTCTGTGGACTTCAAAGCCAGCGCAGAAGCAGCCAGGGTCAACATCAACAAATGGGTGGAGGATCAGACTCAAGGTAGAGCTCATAGTAGCCTACATTTGAGCGCGTCAGTAGATAAGAAATTATAGCTTTGGGTGATAACAGAGGTCGTCTGTCTTAATGTCTTTTTGTTCTTTTGTTCACCAGGTAAAATTAAGGATCTGCTTGCCAAGGATATGGTGGATAGCCTGACCAGGTTGGTGCTGGTCAACGCCATCTACTTCAAAGGGAAATGGGAGACACAGTTCAAGGAGTATTCTACTGTTGATGCTCCGTTTAAAATGAACAAGGTAACACTGACCGTTACAAAGCTATGGATACAGCTTCAAAGTGATGTTTCTAATTAAAGCTTGTTGCAACCCAGCTCGCTAGGAAGCAACATAAACCAGATATTCTTGATCAACTCTGAAGTTATTTATTCATTGTACTCCGATCAAATTAATACAAACAAGAGCTGTAATTATTTAATAGGGAACAAACAGCAAACAACAAAAGGGAGAGTAATGGCTTTAATTTGCCTTTTTCCTAAATATATTTTCCAATGATAAAATATAAATTATTCCAAAATCAGCTATTCTTCAAGAATATTTGTACTTATAGTGCCCTAATTTGATGCTAATAATTTTGTACAACTTTTACTTATTTATTTCTCCACTGCTGTATTCCTACTTATACCTGTTCACAAAATCGGAGTACTTTTTCCATCATTCTTGATCCCAAATTCCCAGGGTGAGGGAAACAATTTAGCATAAAATGTTTGATAAAAAAAATGTGAAGAAATTAGCCGTTCTGCTATGTCTTCGATGAATTAAACATGATAACTCAACAGGAAAAGTGCTATGTGTTTGCTGCTTTCTTTAGAATGACACTAAATCGGTGAAGATGATGGGACAGACCAGTAAATTTGGTCTCTCCTCAATTCGCGAGGCCAACTGCCAGGTAATATCCATTTCTTTGTTGAACAGTATTGGTTTTGTAATGCCTTTTTGCCTCCGATGCAATATGATTTTAGTCATTTCCGAACAGATTTCAATAAAATATAGATTTACCATATTCCAAATGTATGTATAGAGAGTAGACTTTCCATACTTTTAACAGTTTGTTGATCAGATTACATTGAAATGAAAATTGGAATGTGTCTGCACAGATCCTGGAAATGCCTTATAAAGGGAAAGACCTCAGCATGCTCATCTTCCTGCCCAATGAGATCGAGGACAAGACAACGGGCCTAGAGAAGGTAGAACCAGTCTATGGGTAGAACACATCAACACAGTAAACAAATGCACAAACTGGCACACAAATAAATGATATTTTCTCCACACTAGCTGGAGAAGGAGCTGACCTATGAGACATTTGTGGAGTGGACTCGCCCAGACGTGATGGTTGAAACTAAGGTGAACGTGAATCTGCCTCGATTCAAGATGGAGGAGTCGTGTGACTTGAAAGACATCCTGATCAGCATGGGCATGGTGGACGCTTTTGATGTCACGATGAGTGACTTTTCTGGTAAGAAATATAACATAACTGCATCATTATAGCAAGAGTTGAACTGAACAAACACCAAAAGGTTGCATTTGAAATACAAACAAGCCTGAAGACATACATGGTTCTTCAAAACACGTGTATTACTTATAAAGCTTGCGTCATAAAGCATTCTTCCTCTGCTGACAGGCATGTCCAAGGCAGACGACCTGGTCCTATCAGCAGTGGTCCACAAGGCTTTTGTGGAGGTCAACGAGGAGGGAACTGAGGCTGCTGCTGCCACTGCTGGAGTCGCTTCAGAACCTCAATGCCGCCTGAGTTCCATGCAGATCACCCCTTCCTCTTCTTCATCCGACACAACCCCTCGATGAGCATCCTCTTTGCCGGCCGATACAGCTCCCCTGAGTGAGCGCTGCTGTATGTCCTGCAGGCAGATCAAGAGAAATGCCCCCCCCCCCCCGGGTACAACCAGGGAACTGGCCTTCGCCCCTTCTACAGAGACATCTAGGTCATGTGTCACTTTGTGGTCATATTCTTTTTTCTGGTTCTTTAGGGTAACTCTTATAAGCTTCTCTTTTTGTTTCTATTTGTTAATATTTTTTTGTCTATTTTAGACATTTTGCTTTCCTTGGTGGTCGTAATTAGTCCGGTTTAAGTGTTTTTTGTCTCTTTGTGGGTGTTTTGTGTCTCGTTTCAGGTATTTTACGTCTCAATGTGACTTTCCAACGAGAAATGTTTGCAGTAAAAAATAGGCCTTTTAAAAAAGAGGCTCTGACTTTATACCAATCGTAGCTACTGTATAGGAGGCTAATAGCCAGGTACCCTTCGAATGGAAATGATAGTGCTAGATAAAAAAAAAAAAAAAAAAACCATGCAGTGAAAATAGGGCGTCAGTTACATCTTATTAATTATTATTTTCTGTTTGCCATCCTGCCCACATTCTCTTTCTCTGAGATCCACATCCCACGCACTGCACCCTCACATTCCATTTATTGTCTGATCCATTTATCTGTATCTTAAAAAAAAGGTGTTTCATGATTTCACACAGTCTTAATCTGAAATATGATTCTCTATATATATATAAACCAATATGTACATTCTGTATATGAATAATTTTGTACTGTAATCGTGTGAAATAAAAGTTTCCTTCGTCTCTATGCAATCTGAATGTCTTTCAAATTATGACATTTTCAAAATGTGTCAATTGTGTTGTATGAATTATTCTCATTTTTTGTTTAATCTTATGAATCCTTGTTTACAATACAGCAAAGTGAGGGCTGGGTCACTATAGCTCAATCGGTGAAACAAATAAAGACAGAAAATAACAGAATAATGCATTTAAAATAGTTCGAACTGATGCAAATGTTTATAAAAAGGTGTGTAATTGCATACTGTTTTTTGTTGTAGGCCTTGGCTGACTCAATGTACCGATTTTTGAAGTAGCCTTAAAACATTTTGAGATCTCTTTGTTTGCAGTCAAATATGGCAATTTTTAAAAAACATTGGTAATCTTAATCCCACTCTATCCAATGCTATCATGATCAAGAAATCCTGACATTAGCTCCATCTGGTGGAACACTGTAATTATTCAACTTTTATCACTTAAATTAAAATCAAATGTATCATATGCAGGCCCTAGAGCTAACAGAATGTATTGGAAATTGAATACACACTCCAAATATAGTTGAATGAAACACAGAATTACATTATGTGTGTATTTTCTCTCAATCTGGTTGAATCTTATCAGTAGTAATGTTAAATACTATCTAAATCCAAATTATTAAACCACTGTTGCTGAAGGTTTTGTTTCTTTCCCCAGTGATATTTGTTTATTTTAACTTTTTCGTTTTGGGTAATTTCGACAGTGACAAAAATAATAATTATTACAGTCATAATAACCGTTTGCCAGTGGTGTAAAGTAACTAAGTATTTAGTAAAGTACTGTATTTAATTACAATTTCGAGGTACTTTAACTTTACTTAAGTATTTCAATTTGTTGCTACGTTGTACTACATTTCAGAGGTAAATCGTGTACTTTTACTCCACTACATTCATTTAATATCTTTAGTTACGTTACAGATGTAGATTAATGATGTGACATATAATCAACACTTAAATCGGAGTATATCCAGAAGCTACCCTGCAGTATACAAAGACATTAAAACTAGCTGCACCTTTACCTTTGATAACACTTTAATACATTAATCATTATAATCAAAACATAGAATACATATGATTCTGAATGGGCCAATCTGTACAATGAGTACTTTTACTTTTGGTATTTATACCATGTCTAATATTTAGATGCCAATACTTGTGTACTTTTACTTGAGTAACATTTTCATTGCCAATACTTGTGTACTTTTACTTGAGTAACATTTTAATTGCAGGACTTTTACTTGTACAAAAAGTATTTATAAACTCCGGTACTTCAACTTTTAATTAAGAGATCCGAGTACTTTCCCACCTCTGCCGTTTTCTGTGAGCTAAGAAAAAAAGCGAATGAAAGCTCGTTTTGTCCTTTCGGCCTCCGTACAATGACATATGAGAATGCGGAAGCTCATCTGACAGGAAGGATTTCGGGGCGTGTCAGCTAACCTGTAAATAATAAAAACTGAAGCTTCAAACACGAGACTTCCTGTAACGGAAAGACTCCTGAACACTCGAAGTCCATCAGAAAAGTGTCTGTCAGTAAGTTGAAATGAATTTGGTTTAGTTTGTCACGGGGCGAATTTATTTATTTGGTTTGTGTAAGTTGATCCAGGCTAAACAAACATTGATTCTTAACAGTGTTACTTACCAGGCAGGTTAAACAGGACAGGTGTTACTGATTGCAGGTGAAAGAAATATGGCGTTATGAATAGAAGTGCTGCTGTGTAATCTAATTATAATGTTAAAGAAAGTGTCTTAATGTAGCATTATAAATAGTTTTTGTTGCCTGTTCGAGCAATTGTAATCATTATGTAGAAGTAGTGTAAATGTTGTGATTATGTAATATTTTTTAAATGTATTTTTCTATCCATTTGTGAATGTGCATACATAGGATGAGGTTATTTTACAAGAAAAGCTATCAATGATAATTCCCAATCCTCCACTTTCCCAATTGTTAAAATTAGCCCAGATCACGGTAAATCAACCAATTGTTTTAAAAGATATATTGAATTAATCCTGCTTAGTCTCTCAAATCCTTTCTGAACTAAAGACTGCATCTAACCGGTTTTTATTTAATTGTCTTTAGGTCTATCATATTAACACACTTTCCTTTGTTCTTTCTTCCATCAGACACCATGGCATCACCAACCCCTCTATCCAAGGCCAACACAACCTTCGCTCTGGCTTTGCTCAAACAGCTAGGCGATAACGACAATGCCACGAATGTCTTCTACTCCCCCTTCAGCATCTCCTCAGCCCTGGCTATGGTGATGCTGGGGACCAGGGGCAACACATTCACACAGATTTCAGAGGTACAGTAAACATAAAGACACACAGCCAAAAGAAATGGTTTCTGAAAATTAAGAGGTCGGTGCACCTCGTTTGGTGTCATTTTGTTGTAATTGCATCTGATTAAACCACCACAAACTGTGTCTTTTAACTGATCTTACAGTTAGCCCAGCATTTTTTTAAACTAAAAAAGATAAGGAGGGGGGGGAGAAATTGATAGGAATGAAGGGCAGGGTGTCGGCTGTCAGTCTCTATGAATCACAAGTTTTTTCTTACAGTGTCAGCAGGAATGACAAAAAAACTATTCTGTTCAGACTGACTAGGTTTTATGAGGGGTGGCTCTTTGTTGTGTTGCGATAGGTACGTGAAAGGTAACATGGAAGTGTACATTAAGGGCAATAAAGATATAGGTTAAGTTATCTGTACACCTTATCCTTTACTGACTAATCCTCAAATGGAGTTGCTCAATAAATGCCGGCTGAAAGAATATTTGCGTTCCTTTTTATATAAAAAAATGTATTCCCAAAAAAATCTAAAATGACTTTCACTCTTACTATACTGCCATTTTCAATGTAGATACATCCAATAAAGAAGGAATTCCTACTAGGTTATTAAAAAGTATGGGACCCAAAAGCATTGTCAAAGCTTAGTGCAACGGTTTTCAGAAATATACTTTGTTTCATGGAAAAAGGACTGATGTATACCTTTACACCGTGAAAGAAAGAAAGCCTTCACACAGTGGCATTCTGTAGGCGACACAGCAGAAGCTCAACGTTTAGAATGAATTATGTGAAACAAAAACCTTTTGTGAGATTTTTCTAAAGAATTGCTTAATCAAAGCCACACCTAGAGGACTCTGGGTTGGTGGAATCATGGGTATGTGGGAAAGGCAGGGCTTCAAAATAAAGCCTACATGTTTCTTCTAGTAAGAGCAAGGTGAAAGCCACATGGACACGGTTATTTATTATTATGATTTATCATTGTCTGGGACATTGATGTGGTTGATGGCTTATCAAAGCAGGTTCCTGCGTCATGAGTCCAGATGATACACCCGTGTGTGCATGCATGACTGCTCAATGACAGAGTGGGTGTGTGTTTCTGCATGAATCAAGAAGTACAGAGGTGAGAGTAACATGTGGCTGCTGCAAGACATTCTTCCTGGCAGCCAGTTACAAAATAAAAAAGTTGTGTAAACCATATCTTAGGAACTTAGTCATTAGTTAACAGGGATTTGTTTTGCAATTCCTGCTGATGGTTGCTTGGAAAACAAATGTGTGGACCAGCAATGACACTGCCCAATTTGTCATTCATCTTCTTGACAACCGTTATTATTCAAACCAACTCAAAAGTAAAACACATAAAATGGAAACCAGTATAATGTACTTTTTAAGAATTAAGACTGTTACAGTTATTTAAATAAGGTTTTCTTTATATATTTCTGGAAGTGCAGTATCACTTATGCTTTACGACTCTTGTTAAATGTATATAATCCAGTGGTTCCCAAACCAGTGATTTTGTCGGACACATCCCCACAGCCGTCCGTGGGGCGATACTCCTTCAACAAACGTTCAGGGTGTAATGAGTTCACCCTGACAATATTGTTGGGTGTGGTTACCTTTTACGACCTCTACTCATCAATACATGGAGATAGAAGACAAAAAGATGCCAATGCAATTACATTTACCTATTTTCAAGTCATAATAATTCAGGAAATGTCCATAGGTCAATAGTTTGAAGATGGTGTCTGGACTGTGTAAAACCTGTATATTCTGATGTATTATATAACTGCAATCATCTCTCGATTTCTTTATGCTTAAGAGGGGTTTATCTCAGTTGCTCAAAAAAAAATCCTCACTTCTGTTTTAGCAATTTTTTTAACTTGGCATCATCTTTCATCCAGCTTCCCGTTGGAGGGGTAATGAACTTTCCTAGCTTTGTTGAATACTACTCAGCCCACACATCACTGCTAGGCACATATAAAAATGTTGTTTTCCAGACCAAAGCACACAGTGCCTAACTCAACAGTGAACACTACCACCCATAGGTGCTCTGCTTTACTGAGCCAGATAAGTCGCGGCATTGTGGAGGAGAGCAGATGCAAATGGAGCAGCAGCAGAAAGTCAACGCCATGCTGCCACCATATCTGCGGAAGATGGTAACAAAGACAAGAGTAAAGGAATGAAGAACTAACATTTTAAGGGCATTTTACTTACGGTCTGGTGTCATATGGTGCAGGGGAAGAGCGGGTGGCTCAAGGTGATACTTTTTACTCTTCTTTGCTGCAATGTGCTGCCGTATGCCACCGAATTTAGAAAAACAAGAACAATACAAAACAGATGCTTCAGTTGTCTTTTGTTTACTGAAGGTTGGTGTTCCAACAGCTCAACACTCCAAAGTGTTACATAATACTCAGGAATGTAGTCATGTTTTTTATCTCCTACAGCCAGCTGCTGAAAACCAACACGAGACACAAATTCTTTAGAAGAGTACAAACAAATAAAAAAGATAATTTAGTACACATGCCTTATTCTAGTGCAATACTCAGAACACTCCTGTATGTGGGAGACACCAAATGTCAAAATGAATTATACGGAATTTGTATGCACACCAACACATCCTGAATTCCGTCGACTAAAGGGTTTTCTCTGCATGTAACAATGTAAATAACAAAATGGTGGAGGGATCTCTTTATGTGAATGTGTCTGGAAAGGCTCGTCAAAGCTTGGGCTGGGGTTTCAATGCTTTTTAAAGTCAGTGTTTAAGGTGTGTTTTTTGAATTTTCCATGTCAATTTTTTTATTTTTTTTTAATTTAGCCTTGTTATATTTTTAACCTTTGTAAATGATTAAGTTGTTCTCATATAGAGATATATATATATATATATATATATATATACACAATATATACAATAAAGGGTCTGTCAGGTGAGTGACTGCATACTCTAGTAACCAACAATCATTTAACACAATGTATGAAAATGAGTAGAACAAAGCAACAAATCTGCAATTTGCCTGGAAAACTTGCTTTATTGTCTCTCTTATCTCATCACTTAATAGGCAAGATAACTAGTCTTATACCGTGTATAATAGACTGATCCGTCACATGCTTAGTGCATCTCTGTAACACTTGTCTACTTTCTCCACAGTGCCTGAAAACCAAGGGCTTGCAGGATGAGGTCCATACACGCTTCGCCGAACTGCTGTCAGAGCTGAACAGGGAAAACGCTCCGTTTGCCCTCAGTGTCGCCAACAGGCTGTACGGGGAGCAGTCCTACCAGTTTGTAGAGGTGAGTGTGTTTCGGCATGTGTGTGTGCCCATCTTCATGAATAGGTGTGGTTCTGTTTACAAATGATTTGGCTGGAGAAAATGAGGCCCACATAGGAATCTGTGAGCTTTGTAAGAATGAATGATGAGGGAGTAGCCAGTATATGAGCAAGTAAATCAGTGATTGTGATATGTTCCATTTGCTTAAGTTAAGAAAAGAGATTTTTATTCCGGTGAGCAGAATTAGTAAATTTGATGGTGTTGATTCTAGGATTTCTTAGGGAAAACCAAGAAGCACTACAGTGCAGAGCTGGAGCCTACGGACTTTGTGAACAGCTCAGAAGTGGCGAGAGGCAACATCAACAACTGGGTGGAGCAGATGACACAAGGTGCATCACACACACTGAAACATGTCACCTGGGCTGCACACATTCTTTAAGTAGTCTAACATCGCTTCACAAATGTGTTGATTTTGTTTACCAGGTAAAATTAAGGATCTGTTGGCCAAGGGAGTGTTGGACAGCATGACCAGGATGGTGCTGGTCAACGCCATCTACTTCAAAGGCAACTGGGACAAACAGTTTGAGGAGAGCAAAACTGTGGATTCTCAGTTTAGACTAAACAAGGTAACACTGCTTTAAGCAAATAGTCAATTGAAAGTCAGCAAATATGAGTTTTTTTAAATGTAAATTGTATTTAATAATAATTTTATTTTAATTTATATTTGTTTTTTCAGAATGGCACCAAACCAGTGAAGATGATGAACATGAAATCAAAGTTCCCTTTCACCTACATCTCTGAAGCCAGCTGCCAGGTGATTCACAATTTAGTCAAAGGAGAATTTATTGGGTTTTTAGTAACAATCTATTTGATTATAACTGTGACTAACTAGCAGACAATGGCTGTATTTATTCCTAGTAATCTACCGACCAACCAATAGTTGTCAGACCAGTATAGACTACTATAATCTTTGAAACCTTTTGTTTGACAGATCCTTGAGATGCCTTACAAAGGAAAGGAGCTCAGCATGCTCATCTTTTTGCCCAAAGATATAGAGGACAGTACAACAGGTCTGGAGAAGGTAGGACATGCACTTGCACACATTAAGGAACCCAAATAATACAGACAAAAACTAATTATTGATTTTGTGTCCACCTACAGCTGGAGAAACAGCTGACCTATGAGAACTTTACCGAGTGGACTCGTCCAGAGATGATGGATAATGTTGAGGTCATGGTAGGGCTGCCTCGTTTTAAGATGGAGGAGTTGTATGATCTGAAAAATGTCCTGGTCAGCATGGGCATGGCAGATGCCTTCGACATGGCAATGAGTGACTTCTCAGGTAAGACATGGTCCCTGGATAATATTAGAATAACACTTGTGAATTAAAAAAAACCTGATCTTGCTCCTCTCACACACACTCACATTATATCCATCATATGGGACCAGACATATTTGTCTGATATATTTTGTCTCATTCTGGTCTGTGACAGGCATGGCCCCTGGAAACGACCTGGTTCTGTCAAAAGTTGTCCACAAGGCTTTTGTGGAGGTCAACGAGGAGGGAACTGAGGCTGCTGCTGCCACTGCTGCGATCATGATGCTGCGATGTGCCCCGATGCGACCAGAAAGCTTCGTTGCAGACCACCCCTTCCTATTCTTCATCCGACATAACCCTTCCATGAGCGTCCTCTTTGCTGGTAGATACTGCTCCCCTGAGTGAGCTCTACATCGTTAAGAGCAGTGGTTCTCAACTAAAGGGGGTTTACAATGCATTGCAACAGTATCACACTTTATTTTATATTACTAGAAGATGATTGAGAATCACTTCGAGAGTTTCCTATAGCTATTCACAATCAAGTTTCCCTCCTGTGTTTTCATAATGTAGAACGATGAGTGGTTTTGGATTTTTTTAAACTGGTCTCCATCATTCCTTATGAGTGAATGAAATATTCTGTGTTAATCCTGATTATTAGGTTTGTACACAGTTTGTGTTTTGAACCTAATATCTTCAGCCTTAAAACCTTAAGTCTGTAATGGAAGTATGGCCCTTTTTGCTGCAGCCTTAAACCTTATCCTATTTAATCTATACCAATCACGTCTAAAGTCGATATCATCTAAAACACCCTTTGCAAGAATTGCCTTTATCACAATTTCCATGTTCGTTTAACTGCCAGGCCTGAACTATCGTTTTTAATACGTAATTCTGCAAGATTCTTGGCACTTTATCTACAGAAAATACACTTTCAGCATTTTATATGTTCAGTTAACCAAAGAAAGAATGGGATTACAGCATGTTTTCAGATAGCTACGTATGCAAATTCTAAATATATTCTATAAAAAGCAAAAGCTTACATGAGGGTTTAAACTGGTGTCGAATCCATGTCCTTTTTATGTATACTTGTGTTTTACAAATGAAATAAAAAAAAGTGTGCCGTTCCCAAATCTTGGTTGTCAGACATTTTTTCTCAGACTTGAAACAGTCATGTGTGATGAAAACCTGTATTGACCTGTCCTTGTACAAGTACTAATACTACACTACACTGTTAATGTTTAACCCAAACTGACTGTAGTATAATGCTTTCTGTACGAGGCAGTACTACTTTTGGAATCCTATTTCTACAGGCTGTCTTTGTCATAAAAAATACAACAGTAACAGGTTTTCTTAAAAGAAGATAACATTTTCAAGTAGATGAAATTAGTGTCTTGTCTGACCGGTTTAAAAAATATATTTTGCATGTAGAAACAGGAGGAAAGGCTTGCTATGTTGGACACACAGTTTTTAATTCTTCATAGCAGGTAGTCGTAGAATTATTCAGCAAAAATAAAAGCAATGGAACATGTTTAGTGTGTTAAATACACCATACAGTGAAAAAAGGATGAATTGTCGTTGTCAATAAACGCATCTCACTCCTGAACGTTAGGAGGCGTTAATTCGTCGCTACGTTGTTAAAAGTTCGAGAAGAAGAACAAGCTAGGAAAGGCACTTCCGGTTAACTTCCTGGATGTCATTTTTGAAGTCTACTAATCGCTTATTGACAACACAGGACGGCAGTGTTATCCATTATTATTATTATTATTATTATTTTAAAGCCAAGATGAAATGATAGAGACGGGCAATTCGGCTAACGTTTTCCCTCTTAAAGACGACAGAGTAGCTGCTTTAGCTCCAGGTGCTGCCTGCTGATCTGGTTTGCCCTGATTGGCTGGTGATGGAGCGGCTAATAACAAAGCTAACAGAAAAACATGTCCTTTTCACGGCTTCCTTCGTTATACGACTGGCCCTGGTCGCTTATGGAGACTACCAGGATAAGACTATGGTGGTGAAGTACACTGACATTGACTACCATGTGTTCACAGACGCTGCAAGATTCATTACTGAGGTAAGACCATTGTTATAACTCGTGTGACAAGTGTAAAGTAGCCAGATAAAACTGTTATAAGTCAATTAATAAAATACTGGAAAGGGAATTTATCAAGTATTATGTCCCTTTTTAGATACTTCTATTGACATATAATACAAATATTGTGCTATGCTACTTCTACTATACTACCTTTCAATCTTCAAACATGTACAATAACATTCAAAACTATTTTAGAGTGAAATATGACTTTATTCCTTACACTCAATAACAACTATAGTTAATTTCCCTCCAGATGAGGATTTTACATACAACATAAATTATGAGTTTGGAGTGCAATATGAGGCATTATTACATTAAAGTTCAGCTCCAGCTTGACCAGTCACAAAAAAGAAAAGCAATCGAAGTTCTTCCAACTGCATCGTTAATTGTGAATCCATCTACTATAATAATCCAATAATATGCAAGTACAACACTGAATTGGGTTATTCTGCACGATAAGTATTTTTGATAATTCTTGTTTCTTCTTTTGCACAGGGGCAGTCCCCTTACAACAGATCAACATACCGCTACACCCCTCTCCTCGCCTGGCTGCTCACCCCTAACATCTATCTCAGCATGGTGTTTGGAAAGATCCTCTTCATCGTATGTGATGTGCTCTCTGGACTGCTCATCTACAAAATCCTTCTTCTCAAAGGTCTTGGCACTGAGGTATGTTTTCAGCATTTTGTACATTTGTTATTTTATAGTATTCATTTTGCCCTGTAATGAAACACTTTTTGGAAATGTATTCTAAGTTGTGTTTTTGGGGGATTTTCTTTTAGGCTGCGCTGCGTGTTTGTTCTCTGTGGCTCCTCAACCCACTGCCCATTGGAGTATCCAGCCGAGGGAATGCAGAGTCAATCTTAGCTGCACTGGTGCTGGGGACATTACTCTGTATGGAAGGTAAGGGTGTGGAAGCCTTGCAGCTTCAAAAATACATTAGCTCTGTAAAAATGATATAGATACTGCTTTTTTGTAATATACACAGCTCTTGTGCCAATATCCTTTACCTGTGCTCTTCTAGCCCGGCATCTGATGTGGGGAGCCATACTCTATGCTCTGTCAGTCCATATGAAGATCTACCCGGTGACATATGCTCTTCCAATTGCTCTGTCCCTGCGCACAACAGAGACCAGATCAGAGGACAAAAAGGGGATCAAGAGCTTAATGCGGTTTATTAGAAGCTTCCTCAACCGGGAGCTATTTCTCTTTGCAAGTGTAGCAGCAGGAGTTTTCTGTATGCTGACGGCACTCTTCTATTACATGTGAGATATGCAACCAAATTACTTACAGTAAAGAAAAAGGTGCTTATTGTGACTGTGGTTTTTTAAATCTGCATACTGAGTGGTAAATATTAACATTTTTCTGTAATTTATCCCAGCTAGTTTTGTACAATATTATTTTGAAGATGATTGGCTTCTATTTGACAACAGTAATATCTTGTTATTCATGCTATTTTATATATATATTAAACCTCCCCCTAAAGTCTTAAGAAGGTAATAGAAACAGCGAACCAAAAGTCTGATTGAAGTATTTCTAAATATGAAATAATCGGCATCATCCCTTATCTTCTATTAATAATCCTCCCCTTTCTTGTCAGGTATGGATGGGAGTTCCTTCATGAGACCTACTTGTACCATCTGACCAGAAGGGACATCCGACACAACTTCTCTCCATATTTCTACATGCTCTACCTCACCGCAGGTATTTGTAGCCATTCATAAATTTGTTATAACTCTAAAAGTATGTTTATTAGCCATTCTCCTCAGCCAAATGATTTTCTCCTCTGTTGGTGCAGACAGCGGGTGGAGCCAGTGGCTGGGCCTGGCAGCGTTCCTGCCTCAGCTCATCCTGCTGCTGGTCGCATCATGGGCCTTTCACTCCGACCTGTCTTTCTGCTGTTTCCTGCACACCGCCATCTTTGTCTCTTTCAACAAAGTCTGCACTTCACAGGTACATCATAAAACAGGGTCTAAGAGATCATACAATGCATTGTGTTGCGGTCATTATCAGATTAAGCTGTCCTCAAGAGACTTCGTCCCACCCTTTGTTTTTACACATTCCACTGTCAATTAAGTTAGAAAAGCGTGTATATTTGTAGTTAATTGCTGCACCACTTTGACAGCCATGAGGCTAACCACAGTGCACAATAATATGCATTTATAAATATAAAGATTTCTTTAAAGCCTTTAACAATGTTCTGTGTTTTCCCTTTTCATAGTACTTCCTGTGGTACCTTTGTCTACTCCCTCTGGTCATCCCTCACCTGAGTCTGTCACTAAAACAGGGAGTGGGACTGCTGATCCTCTGGTTTGCTGGACAGGTAATTCACCTGATTGCAATTTATGTTGTATTAAATAGGACTTCAGATATGAACCTTAACATATAACAAATCAAACTAGCTTTAAAATGGTAATCAAAAACAACTTCACAGATTATTTTATTCTTTATAACTTTCTTTTCAATATTTTTGATTGAATCAACAAGAATTGACTGTTATAAAGAAATGTGTTTTCTCCCCACTGTCAGGGTCTGTGGTTGGGCCCGGCCTACTTCCTGGAGTTTGAAGGCTACAACACCTTCCTGTGGATCTGGCTTGCTGGACTGCTCTTCTTGATCATCAACTCCTTCATCTTGATGCAGATAGTTTCCCATTACAAGCCAACACAAACCCCACAGAGACTGAAAGTTGAATGAAATTAAGATACAAATGACGATGTTCCACGTTGTTAACAAATAAAGTGTATATATTTTTTATGGTCAGTCTCCCTGTTACTGAATTATTTTCTGTTATCTAAATCAATTCCCCACAGAACACAGAATATATTCATAAAGTCCAATTTTCATGGTGTCTAAATCTACTGTTTAATATCCTCATTCTGAAACCTTTTGATTAAATGCATGCCACAACATCTCAATGAGTCACATAAGGCAGAAAACAGCTGCTGCACTGCCTTTCTAGTTTCAAACTTTAAAGTCAGTTCCGCCTGCGGCCACATTTTAGCAATCAGCTCTCATAAGGTCATCTCAATCACAGGCTCTTTAACTTTTAAGGCTTGTTGTAATTAGAAAAAGGTTCAATGGCTGGCTACTGTGTTACTAAAACCTTTTTAAGATAATGATTTGGGTCCTCTTAAAATCTAATTACCCAAACAAAGGAAGAACACTATAGAGGGAACCTTAATGTCAACTTTAATATGAATTACCTGCCCCAAACAATCACATATCAGAAAAAAAGTATTCTTAATGCATCTGAATAATCCAGTAAAAATAAGAGGAAAAAAATAAAATCCAAGAAAAACTGCAGTGCAAAAAGAAGAAAAACATCCCAAAAAGGAATCAAACTCACCCGCATGTATGGTCCTCAGACTCCACTTGTCTTGATGTTCCTTCAGCAGATGGAGGTAACACCGTACACATTAGAAAAATCCCTCTTAATTCACTTTGTAGAGGTGCCAGGCTTCCTCATCTTTCTCCAAACAAACTCCTCTTCCAAACAATTCTTTCTCCATTTGTTCCCAAGCCACGCCCCCTTACACCTGGGGGAACTGCACACCTGATTAGTGACTAGTGGGAGACGACAAGTTAAAGCCGGGGAGAGAGGGACACTGCAACAGGAGAAATAAACCATATATTTCCTCATATATGTGGCAGTGTCACAATGCCACAAGACAAGGTTTTACTTGATGTCAATTATATAATATGGGCGAAGTAATGCTTCACAAACATTACTCTAGTCCAATAATAAGAGACTTCTGAGACTTCATGCCATGAGATGTCATTTTTTAGACTTCTCCTCAGGTGTAGTGTGCAGTTGTGACCAGTAGGTAGAAGTGTTCACCAGCAGAAGAGAAAGCCTTGGCCTCTATCCTCGGGTAAACCTCACAGATTAATCAGTCAACTGGAGCATGAGCACAAGCCAAAACAGGCAGTGCTGGCAGTGGCTCCATAATCTCACTGTACTCTCCCCCTAATCTCACATGGGAATTATTAGAGCATTCACTAGTCCTGTAGGTTCACATCATGTTTGCTGGCCCTGCTCGGTGGGATTGATTGCGGAAGTGTATACAAATATATAAATATTTGTGGATGGATGGTAGATACACACAGTAGAGGGTTGAATTTTGTTATGAAGCATGTTGTGTGTGTGAGAGAAAGAGCTGGCTTGCTTGTGTGTTGTGTATGTGCGTGCGTGTGTGTATGAGTCACGGTCAGCTGCGGCCTGCATGTCTATTTTATGAATCACCCAGTTGCACTCAGTAACCTTTCAACTGGCTCGTCGCCCCTGGGCACATACATGCACAATTTCATTTTAACATTGCATCCCACTGAATTCCATCACATTCAGCAGTTTATTTTTACATCCCTACGACTGAAAATATGAATGCTGTTTCTTCTTCAACTCCTTCCTTTCATCTTGTTTTTAGAGCAGGCTTTCCCACCCAATGATACTTGTACCCCAGGGGTTCTCTCTCCCGTTGCCTGAGGGCTGGTAAGACCAAAAGTGCTTTAATGTATTTGACATAATCAACGGCAACAGATAAAGGTATAGATGTTAAGTTACAGTATGTTGTTGTCAGGAAAGGATTGGTGTGTACTGTGTAGTATATATAAACTTGTGAGCCTCTCTTCAGTTCTAATTAAGTCACTACAACTTAGTTGACGAAGGACATAGGAGCCCCCTTTCCCCAGCCAATAGGCAAATATTATAGCACCTCAATCATGTCAAAGTATATCTAATATAGAATGAAATCCATGGTCAAACAGACAAACCCTGGCATGGCTGCGTAAAAAGAGGCACCCCGTTTCACTATCTGTGGGAGTGGCCTGCAGTAAAACTAATGCCCATGACCAGGTTGATGTCCCTAGATGTCCTTCCATGTGACAAAATAGATTGCTAATCTGTAAGGACAATTAGATTTGTAACACTTGGTTCTCTTGTTAGACTGATTGTGGTATACATTAAGGTCATATTTGAACTCTCATGGGTTGACCCTGACCTCCCCCTTTTCTAATATTCCTTTGTTTGCTTTTGTGCATGTTCTGCATTTTTATAGTTTGATGTGTATCTATAGCGTCTGTTTAATTTCAAATAAAAGGAACATTTAGAATGTAAAAATACTAAATTGAATATTATAATATTCAATATCTACGTACAAAAGTCAGCGCTAACACATGAACAAGTACCAGTTTATAGCACTTTAAAAGTAGTTTGCAAGCTAGCAGGCAAGCTCAGTCAGCTAAAACGTATGTGTAAATAACTAAAATGAATGGCTAAAAAGTCTTAACATGTTATATTTAGGTACAGTCAATGTACTGTAGATACCTGGCTGATAGTTAGCTAATAGTTATAAATAAACAATTGAAAATAGATAGCTAAACGCAGGCAAACATTTCAAACAATGACCTTAAAATAGCACAAACACTAGTAAAAGGTGATGGATTTACTGTTGAAATTGTAGAATAAACTGGCCAAAAAACTGGCATTTACAGTTGAACAAGTGAGCTAGAAGTAATGAAAAACAATGAAAAACACTTTTATATTTAGACGATAAAAGGGTTGGAAAATGGCGCGTAGTAATTGTAGTCCCAGTCCGCCCCTGGTAGTAGCCTACGAAGGAAAACTTGACCACACATTGACACTTGATTTAAATTGTATGAAAGAATACTTTTTACCAACTACTTTTATAAAATCAGTGGGGTGAAGTAATTTTAAATGTATATGGAACATTACTGGTGATTTACATCAGAAAGCTACTGTTAAGAGATATTAACACGGCTAAAGAAAGTAAGCAATGATGCAAGGTGCTGTTTATTGTTCATTAGCTAACTCAGAAGAAGCAATGTTGTGGCTGTGGGGGTTGGGGCAGGGGATTGCGTGACTATCTTCCATATGCTTAGTAGGGTGTGTGTATATGTGCATGCTAATGTGCATGCATAAGTGTATGCACATGCGTGTCTTTGACATACCCTCAAGGATTCCCCTCATTGTCAGCAGGGGACATGGGGAAAGGAAATGCGGACATTGTTGTGTCTATGTAGCCTATGCATTGGTGCATCTGCCTATATGTGTGTGTATTAGTGTGTGTGTATGAGAGAGTGGGTGTGACCAATTAGTGCAAATGGTGTGCGGAGCAGCAAAGACTGGGGTATGAACGGTCACGCGACCTTGCATGGTATAGGATTATAGGTCTTGGTCTGCACACCAACGCACACACACACTATCTCTCTCTCTCTCTCCCCCCCCCCCCCCCGCCGATACAGCTGTCAACAAGCATCAAACACTTTGCTTACACTACAGTAGCCCTAAGCAGTCACTCCTCCCTCTTGATTGGATGTGCTCTTTTCATTGTTTTTACCCCTTTTCCCAAGCGAACTTCTCTTTTCTCACCTCTAGGTTTTGCCTCTCCACCTCCATCTCCGTCCCACTCTTTGTCATTCTCACCCCTTCCCCTCTCCGTACAGAACAAGTGTCATATGGCAACATAGCGTGATGGAAGGTTGCGTGCATGCTAACGAATATTAATCATTTAAAGTCAGCCGCATCCCCCCCATCATTGTCACATCAACAATCATGAAAATACAGTGAGACAAAAGCAAAGTACTCCTTTGGAGGGGATGTTAAAGAGAGATAGTACACAGTATCGCATGAGATGATTGTACTCACTTGTAAAGAAAATGGTGTGTGTGTGTGTGTGTGTGTGTGTGTGTGTGTGTGTGTGTGTGTGTGTGTGTGTGTGTGTGTGTGTGTGTGTGTGTGTGTGTGTGTGTGTGTGTGTGTGTGTGTGTGTGTGTGTGTCACTCACTCACAATCACATATGTAATTAATGTTTCAGGTTTTGATTCCTGTAAGGCCACGGATACGTGCTTCACCATTGTTCAGACTGATGTATTACATATGCCATTATACCTTTTAATATTTAGTGTCCACAGTTTGAGTGCAAGTCTAGTTAGCAAACAGATAGTAGTCGGTATATGTAGTAAAACTGGACTGTCTGTGGGTCATTTATTGATTGTTAACTGTATCAATCACTTATGGAGATCATTCGGCCTTTTCTATAGCTCCAGGTATGTACAGTACTTCAAGCAATGAACATCATACTTCTTCTGAAAAGTATTTGAATGCTTGCAGTGTTTCATTATAGGTCTGCAACCAGAGGAGGAAGTAGGATTTTAATTGAGTCTTTTTTAAGCCAAGAGGAAGTACAAGACCTCTCAACTGTCACGCGAGTGGCCACGGTAAACTCATCAGATGAATTGAAAAGGGAGATTATACTCATAGGAAGTTTAGTTTAAAATGGAGAAATACTGGCTTTGAGGATACCAATAATTAGAGTGATTTCTACTGTTTTGGCTGGAGGATAATGTGAACCATCAGCAACTGCATTGCCTCCATATGTAAATCTACTTAAAGTTATTTTTATTTAAACTTTATTGACAGCATTTAAAAGTTAAAACATTATTATTTACATGCAGTAATCACTGTCCTTTTCACAGGATTTGGTTGTTCTATTGCTTCCCTTTACGTAATCAAAACTGAATCAAAATGCTTAATTATTTGACATGGTATGATATTCTATGATCTATTTTTAATCACATAGTGGATTTTATTTGTGTAATATAGCTAAAGATGTGAAGATCATGACAGGATTTCCTGTAATTAGATGTGGCTATCTGGTACTTGCTCGCTATATTAAGTATAGTATTCAAACGCACCAACTGCCGCTCATGCACATAGACTCCCGACCCAATAGGTAAAATCCCCACACTAACTGATCCTTGTGTGTCCTGTAATTACCAATAAGTCATACTCTGATTGTGGTGAAACAAACACAAACTTCGGAACAGGGATTAGAGAGCGGAGATAGCTGCACTATCAGTAGGAAATGCTTGTTCCTTTAAATCAGAACAAACAAAAAGGGTCCCACTGCAGGTAAAGGTCATATACGATCAAGAGGTGATGGCTGCACAACTATAAAAATCTCATTATTCTGTGACATCTACTTCATCACCAATGTTTGTTTCTGGTGTGAGGTGAAGAGAGGACATATGATACATGGGAGAGAAACTCCCTCTGGAGAAAACACAGAGATTTTAGCCTTTGCAGACCATTGACATGCACAAAAACCTATAGAACACACTACAGCAAAGGGAAAACCCCCAAAATCATAATGAACAAGAGTTTGAGCCTCTAGCTTCATTAGTACTTAGTTATTCTTATGTACCTATAGAGGTCAAAGGCCAGGCTAACTACGAATGTAGGCCCATGTATTTCATTCAAAGATTCTTAAGCAGGACATACGATAAAATATTTTATACTACCTGAAATCGCTCCCCTGTTCAGTTGGAGCAACATTGGATAAAAAAGATTATCTGTGTTCTTGGACTGTTTTAAACCTGATGTGCAGAGGAAATAGAAATAACTACCAAGTAGGATAGAGGTCCGGCTCTTCCGGCAGCCTGAGGACATGGACTTTACCACACATTTGAGGTAACATCTCTAACCTGCTTCTATCCTTGCCCTATACATCCCTGTGGACGCACATATTCCCCTGGCTGTAGCCCTAGTCCTAGACAGTGGTGAGAGACTGGCTTAGAATTACCCAGATCGTGTGAAGGAGCTGTCATGCCAACTTTACAGCGCATTAATCATACAGGCAATGTGGCTAGAGATACTCTGTATCCTGTTCTGCTGAGTATTTATTATTAATAGGGACACAAATCTGAAGGATGAGACCACATTCGAGGTACGTGAAAAATTCAGAAGATACTAAAGAGGCGGGGACGTTAACGGAACAATAGAATTAGGCGATCTTTCATTCTGTAAAGCATTTTTTAGCTCTATTATTTTAATATGACATTTTTATTTACTTTTGGTAGGCCTACTTACTATGACATTGTTTTGCAAAGTACAGTTCCTTTCACAAAGCTGAGTTGCCGTTAACTTCCACTCATCTTCCATTTCAAATCGGTGTAATAGTGATATTCTAATCAACTGTGTGTAATCTGATTACTCTGTAAAAGTATTTTTGGTATTCCAGAATACCATCAAATGTGGCATGCTTGTGTTATCCATCAAGCTAGCATTCATTTGTTGCTCTCTTTATTATCTGTCTAATGTCCAAAAAAAACACACTTCACTCCATATTTCCATTTAAAGAAAAAGTATTTTAATAGATAAGTCCCATTTGCAAAAAACACGTAGAAACATTGGAAGACACTGCATATTTACACTGTGTTCGCTACCTTGCAGCTACCTCCTCCATGAGACAAGTATGACAGTCTTCTGAACAATTATCAAAAAGATAGCAAGAAAATAAAAGCCATATTTAATTACCTTAGTGTAACAGAAAAGCCTTCAAAACTGCAGATTTTAAATTATACACGTTTTCCTCTTACAATAAATACGAATCATCAAACCATTTATTGAAATGAGCACACACACAAAGAGAAAAAGACAATTTCAAAAACAGTGACACCATGTAACGTTGTGCGTGTCGACTCAAAAACTTGTCTGGGTAGGCGGGACTTCAACTGAACTACTCCCAGTAGTGCAACTTAGAAACTACAACAGTAGCTTAACAGAACTGAGACTTTAACATTGAATCAATTTTGGTGCTTTGAATTCATTTGTGCAAAAATATTGATTGTGAAGATGACGCCTTTTCGGACTCAAAAGACAACACGGAAAGTGTATATGCTGAAATGCTGATCCTGGCGTAAACACTAATCCAAACTGTACAACATTAATGATCACTTGTATGTCCGACAGGGGTTGCACGACTTAAAAAGGATAACATTATTGTGTGCATTAAAGAATGTTTTAACAATAGATAGTCTTTTTTTTCCCTTCAACTCAAACGAACACTTCAACTGATAATGATAGTCGTCGTATTTTCTTAGGTCCATCGTTTAAAGGGTAATTCTAGTGTGGGGATGTCTTCCACCGGGGGTCAGAACCACAGCTGATGTTCAGTTTTTTTTTCTTCAAATGTATGTATGCCTTCATTTGTGAAATCAGCATTTAGTTTAATAATCCGATGTGGTGACTAAAGCCAATAGTTTCACAGGTTTTGGTCCATTAACTACAAATTGCACACGTGTTCTGCCATTTTTTAAACTGTCCTTCATGGTGTTTTTGGGCATTCTCTGACAAAAGCATTAGCATTGCATACTATGCTCAAGAAAAATGTGATTCAGGGCACACATTTTGAGTGAACAAAGATAATGTGAACTTTGTTGTGTCGTGCATTGAAAAAATGTATGCAACATTGTTTAAAAACTCTGAAAGTGCATTTAACACAAGTCTGAAATGCAAAGAAACCACTAGATTCCACTCATACATCACTAAGGGCAGTAATGAAAAAGGTAGACGATTTATAGTTAAAGCACTAAAACATGCAAAAAACCTCCATCAGGGCAGATTATCCTAAATAACTATAACTAATTATGCTCTCATTATCAGTCCCCCCCCCCCCCCCCCACCTGATGAACCCGGCAGTAAGTCATCTCCTGTGTACAAAGTCTCTTTTTACAACAAAATCTTTGTTTCTCCCACATAAACCAGGTGTTCACAACACATAAAACAAAAATGAAATTGTGTTTCTAGACATAATTCGTCTCACTGTCACTAAACTGCAAAAGTGCTAGGAGCCGACAACAAAAATGTATTCCTTACAAACAAAATAATCTATCCATAAAGTGGATTTAAAGTATTATTTTTGATTGTCACAACACTGACGCTAGAACCTGAGCCTTGATTGTGACCTCTTCAGCAGAGAGATCGTCGTAATGTTGACATCCTGGGAATCCTAATGTTATGCTGGTGCGCGTGGCGCCATACAAAGAACTTTGATGCACGCTGAGTGTATGTGTGTGAGATTATCTTCTGTGTTTACACTTTTATGGCATATAAATGTAAGGACTGGACTTGTGGTGGCCTGTGCTCATCACACATGGCATAACGTTCCTCTGACCGACCATCATCATGGACTGGCTGATGTCGTGAGTGCTCTCAGACCACGGGGGGGAGTCCATGGGCTCCCGCTTGATGGAGTGTACGATGCCGTGACCTTTGAACTCGTAATTGCCATGCTTGTTGTAGTCCGGGTGCATGTAGGCCTTGTGAGGGTCCTGTGGGTAGACGTGTGTGTCCATGAGGTTGATGGATTGGTTGCTGCATACAGAGTTTGAGTGAGAGAGTCTCTGAGGACTGAACTGGTTGTTGTCGTTGTTATTGCCCATGTCTTTGTCACATTTCAACAGACGTGCGGTTGCGTTCCCGCCGTTGTTCATTGCATAGTTCTGATAGTTGCCGTTGTTGTACGGCGGGCTGATTCCCGCTTTCCCTCGCTGACAAGGCGAGTACTGTGGATCGTAATATTCCGCTTCTGTTTTGAGATGGGCGTTCTGGTCGTACACCCCGTTACCATAGCGGCGGTCGATGGCTTCCGGGTCGCGGCACCCCCAGGGTTGCCCGTAGGCATCGCAGCCGTTCTCTGAGTCAGAGTCGTGCTCTATCTTGATAGGTTGCATCTCGGGCATCATATGGCCGTCGTAGCAATCCCCGTAGCCGTTCTCGTTCTTCACCAGATCCACGCAGTAGGCATCTGGGTCCGAGGGGATCTGTACGTTCCCGTAGAGCTTGGACACAAACACCTCGCCATTTCTGCCGCTGTGGCAGTTTGGGGAAAGACGATATGGCTTCCCATACTGCCCGGCCTTGTTCATGCGGTTAGAGGGGATGTAGCCGACACCCTGGCCCGATCTGAGGGGGCCGGAGTTCGGCCGCAGAGGCCAGCCCCCGCCAAGGCCCGGGCTGACCCCTTTATGGGGAGCCATGGTGGACTTGCAGTAGTTGAGGGGCTCATCCTGGTTGTAGTAACCATCAGCGCGGTACTTGAGGTTGTCTTTGGAGAGCGGGGTCCAAGGAGTGTGCTGACCCCGCTGGGTTCCACCAGGAGTGGGACAGGACAGGAGGAGAGGGTCTGCTATGTCACCCATTCCTCCACTGAAAGAGTGCCTCCGCAGGGGGTCTCCAGGCTCACTGTGAGGGCATGAGAAAAGGCGTAAGAGATTAAAAATCACAAAATAAAAAGGCAAACCAATCAGATTAGATTATACAAAGTTGTTGTAGTCCTTGATAAAGAGGTGGTCTCCTGAAATATAATTGGTCTGCTCAGATACCCGTTTGGGAATGTCCATAAACTGAGTGTCTTTTTCTGCTGATTGAGTAATGACTCACAGCCCAAATGTCTAGGTTTGGTTCATGAGAGAATCATTCCAAAAGTGACTCATCTTTTCCAGGATACATCTCATGTGAAAATTGAGAACAGAGTCAACAACCATAACCCGAGGATCAATGATGACCCACACTCTAGTTTATAAGCAAAACAATGCAGCATTTGCCTTCAACTATTGCACATTGCATTACATGAGAAAGTGTTCTTTGTTTAAGCTGACCTGCAGTACTTTTCCCTTAAAGGACGAGAAGACTCCAAGCCATTAAACGTAATGGCCAACATGCTAACCAACATGCTGTCCACTTATAAGTAATTGGTATTTTTCTAAAGAAAGCTGGATGATGTTTTGAGGGATTGAACAGCAGAGGGGGTGGTCGGGCTCTGCTCTCTGAATACAGCTCAACTCTTGGCCTGTCAGCCTCCCAATGTTGTTAATGATGCATGAAGCACAGAGGGCCCTTTCCAAGCAGATGCATGCATTTGCTCCTAATTGGCCACAGGTAAGGCGTCTAGCATCTATTTGGTTTGCTGTGAGACGCTGCTGGGTGAGGAGAGAGCTAATGTTTGAGTTGGTAACTGAGTCTAAGGGTAAATGCTTTGGGTGTTCATAAGGCTGTTGCTGGGCAATAAACTGGTATATATAATAAACAATAATACATGGACGGATGCCCATGTGTTTTTTTCTACTTTTTTGTGTACCATTGCCTCATGGATCTTAGTCTAGGCTACTACTTAGGTCACTACTTTATTCTATAGCTGAATCGTTGTGTAACATTTAACTTTACTTTGTTGCCAGTTTAGTTGCTGTGGCCTTTCAAGGTCTGACCTTTACTCCATGAGGCAATTCAGTGAAATCTCCAGAAGAGATAACACGTTGCCAAGATGCATCAAACCTCAAGTTTGTGAAAAAAAAGAAAACTTGACCTTTAATTACACTATAGCACCCCCATAACACTAGGACACTGTACAGTACATCTCACAACTTTTACTAAAGTTGTGAGATGTTGCTCAAGTATAAGGTCTCTTACCCAACTCCTCCTTTGTTCTTTCCCCGCATTAACATGTTCTTCATTTTCATCTCGGTGATGGAGGGCAGTAGGAGGGGTACACCTATGCAGAATAGAGCCAGCTGGGGGGGCAGCAGAGCCCCGGAGCCGGACTTCTTTTTCTGACCGTTGAGGAACTTCAAACGTCCCTGGAACTGCACAGTCTGTGAGAAAAGAAAATTGGATATCCAATCAGTACATTCCTATTATATTTACATCCAATGCTCTTTGAAAGCCTGACATTAAATCTCTCTGTGCATGTCCACTCCTAGATTAACATAGAACATTACAAGTCCTAGAAAGTTACATTCTACTTCTTTTGTATTCAAACAGTCTTTTTTACATTTTATTTTGGTAACCATTAGATAGTGTAAATGTGCCTCCTGAAACACACTAAACTGTGTCTATTTAATGATAAGGATAAAGGTATTTTGAGTATGCACAGCGGTGCCTTGAGCTAAATGCTAAGATTAGCATGCTAACATATCAACAGTTCCAAGGCTATCATGCTTATGTTTAGCAGAAAATCTATCTTTTTAGCAGATATTTGGATATAGCTAACCAGGTCTGAGATCTTACTTTATTTTTTTAGCATTGTTAACATTTACTATAGGACCAAAGCATGGTTAAGATTTTGGGGAATTTCACTTGTTGTTGAAATATTTTACGAGCAGAATGAGGACTTTGCATTCCAATGTGTTGGTCTTTACTGCATTATGCTGACTGGCCTCACCAGTTTGTGCTTCCAGTATAAAACTGCCATGTACAGTTTCTGTTGTGCAGCCAATGTCATTGCAGCCAGAGCGGACTTGATGACAGTGAACATAATGACCCTGATGAAATGGTCCAAACTCTTATTGCTCTGTCATCAGGGCCCTTAGCTTTTCCACTGTTGTTCTCCAAACCACTCTAGTAACAGCCACGAGGGATAAACCAGGCTTCTATTCTGCTGTGTCCAGGCTCGCAATTACCTCATAATGCCTTGCAACACAACTACAACTGTACACACTGCATTAAAAGTGTTGCCGTACCAAAGGGGTCATCATTTTTTTTATAGGCCTGGGTCTTTTCCCAGAACGTGGGCAACATTTACTCCAAGCTTAATTTATATTGCGTATTCAGCACTTTTCTGTGCAAACTTTAGTGCATTGAAAACAGAAATTGCACTGTTCAGACAACTCACCAAGAATCCAGAGGTGCTGTCCAAGAGGCATCGGACTCTGGCAAGGAAGCATCTGTTGAGAAAGCAGGAGAGCTCGGGAGGAATCCCCCCGGCCTCCGGAGAATGGAAGATGCTGCTCACTACAAACTCCTCACCTGGATGGGAATAGAGAAAGATGGAGGAGATTTTAATCTTAAGGGAAGTAAATATACATATAAAAGCTGCATCTACTTTCACATTTAACTAATGATTTATGGCAGTGTGTGAATCACTTCCCAGAGGACATACTGTGATATGCCTCATAGGTAAATATATGACAAAGAATGACAGGATCACCACCAAATCCACACCTAAGCAACAGTTTGTATGTGTTCTTCCCTTCACAGTGAGCTACCCACCATTCCCTGCAGCCTGCTGGTGGTCCTGGTGTGCCTGTGACCCCTGTGGAGGGCACATGGCCCAGTGGAGCTGGCGTTTGAACTCCTGGCGATCGTCTATGTGAATGTAGTCAAACACATTCTGGTGCATCACGTCAGTCTGTGGAGAAAAGGTAATGGATTTCAGTATGGAAATGTGTACGCTATGAGAATCAGGCATTTATTTAAGTGTTGGACTCCTGTTTTCTTCCACAAGGCTTAAGAAACATGAGATAGCAGGTTCGCAGCAATGTCCGCAGACTGACTCTAAACCACTGTGTTTTGCTGCCATAAGTGGAGCTGGTAGCTCCAGTTTGGAGAGGGGATTCTTGTTGTTGCTGCTTCAGGATTCCAAGGAAGCATGCTTATTTCCCCCCGGTACACACATAAGGACCATACTGTACACACAAGTCACTGAAGTTTGCAGAAACATACATACACACTTATAAAATTCTTCACAGGAGCCTTTCCTCAGTGCAGTAACAGACTAAGGGCTGCTGAAGGGCCAAAGAGGGCAGCTGTGTTTGTCAAACATCGCGTGACACCGGCTCCTGAACAGCAGTCCAGCCCAGTTTGCCCTCCCCATCCACACACACACACACACACACACACACACACACAAAATGAGCCGGGTTCCAGCCCACTCTAGTCATCCCTCGCTTTCTTTTCCAGCAATAGCTTTGCTTTCTGTCATTCCATGACAGATTCCTCACTAAAATGTTCAACCTTCTCCCCTTCCCTCTCTCCCTCTCTCCCTCCTCCCGGCACTCTCTCCATAATTTCCACACTGGTGGCACGCGAGGGTTTTTGATCGCCTGCCTCTGAAAACACAATCTGTTCCCACCGTCTTCGGCGGGCGCTTCGTCCTGTGGTTTGGTTCCCTACCGGCAGTCAGGCAGACGGATCGAGTGACTATTGTTTATGTTTCCCATAAAAAACACAGAGAGCAAAGGAAGAGGGGGAAAAAGAGAATAAGTGATATTTGTGTGATCCTTCAAAGGCTAACTGCCCCAGTAACAAATGGGATGAAAGGCCAGTGGAGGTCTTCTGCTCTTCTCCAGAGCTTTCTTGTGGTGCTACTTAGTGAAGCGTTTTCTTTTGTTCTTTTTCCTGTGGTATATTAGGGATAAGTGTTGTTCTGACTGCAATTGTGGGTTCCAAATGATGTGACATGTTGGAGGCAAAGAATGTGACTTAAAAAGAGCCAATAGCTTATTTTGCAAGAATTGAACATGTGGCACAGCTAAAGCAATGTTTTGGTGGCACTGAAATATAACATGATGATTCAGGACACATTTTAACTTCACATTCTTTCTTAAGTTCCTCATTTAGAGTGCTATGTAATGAAAATCCTCTGTATTTTAGTCTATAGTTCTCAGTATCGACAGCACTGACTGGTACGAACAATTACATCATTTGAATTTGCGTATAGATAAGCAGTGATTTTCTGCCACTGGAGATCAAATGTCACATGATTACATAACATTGGCTGCTTTGCATGCTGGGATCATTTTAATCTTTCGCCTATGTTAGGCCTTTTAAATATGTTTTTGAAAAAAAAAAATAACTAACGTGCTGAACATGGTATATACTGTTTATCTTCACCATTTGAGCGTTTTGTGGAGTGTTACGAATCGAACATTGTTCTTTCAAATACAAATATTCCATGCACCTTACAGTTTAATTTCCTTTGTCTGTCTCTACTGTTTGTACACACACACACACACACACACACACACACACACACACACACACACACACACACACACACACACACACACACACACACACACACACACACACAGTGTGTAACTCAGGGTGAAGCAGAGTTCTTCACCTTCCTGTGGCCTCTTAGCTGTTAGCGAGCCCTCTAGATTGAGAATTATGAGGCAGCAGACTGAAAGAGATACTTTTACTCTATATCGTTAGCCGTAGGATGAAAGAAAAGAAAATAGAAAGAGATGGATGGAAAATAATAGATTGGTTGGAGGTGCAACTTGTTGAGTGATACGGTGATGATCTGTTTGATTAAAAATGTCTTTTAGCTCAACAATTTGGGAAATGAGCTTGTTTGTTTTTCTTGCCAAGAGTCATCTGGGAAGATAAATACCACTCTCACGTCTGTATTGTAAATATGTAGACCTGGTTAGCTTAGCTTAGCATAAAGACCAGAAACAAGGGGCTACATCTCCAAAGGTAACACAATTCACATATACTAGCATCTCTAAAGCTCACTAATGAACTCGTTTTTTATGTCTAATGGGTTTAATCCGTATAAAAACACAATTGTTGTATGGTTACAGTACGTGCCAGATTTTGTCTTTGCAGGGACACTAATCTCCCGGAGCTAGGGGACTTTAGAGATGCTAGTAGATGGATTTTGTTGCAGTTGAACAGAGCCAGATTAGCTGTTCTTTCCACTTCTTGTGAGCATTATCAATCTTCTCATCTTGGCAAATAGCAAACATATTGTTTCTTGTGAGATGTCTAAATTCCTGAAATAGTTTTATGGATTCAGCTTACCTTGACCTAAGGCAGGAGTCCATTTATCGACTGAAAATGTGTGCTTGTAATGTGAACAGTTGAGTAATAAGCGAGGAACTGAAAACAGAGGATTTGTTTTGTTGGAAGAGGACACTGTTTACGAGTCTGAATGCTGATATGTTCAGAGTATATCAAACCTTCATTATACAGCATCTAAAATATGAATGAGACTTACCTGATGAAATCCCAGATAGTCCACGATGGTTGAAGAGGCGTAAAATACCATCCCATCACTGCTCACCACCAAGGCAAAGCCTGTAAGAGACTACACACACAGAGAGAGAGAGAGAGAGAGAGAGGAATAAGTGGTGACTCAGAGCAATTCATGCAGTAAACAAACACAACCAACAGTTGTTTTAATCGGTGCAGTTTTTGCAAAGCTGACTCTAGAGAGCATGATTGCAGCGGGCCGTGACACACTGCAACAAGTCCAATATTTTTTTTATTTAAGACTCAACTGACAACAGTTATTGCTGTTTTTCTCCAAGTGTGAAAAATAAAGCTGGCAGATTTGTAATGCAAAATATTGTTTTTAAAGGCTTTTTTAAAAAATATTTTCTGTTGGTATTTAGATTTACGGTATTAACTTGAGGATAAAATACACACCAATGTATTCGCCTTTAAATGTATACATTTCATAAGATCGCAACTTTGATTATTAAGTCTGTTTGACTGGTAACATCCTTTGATTTGTGATCCCAAACACTTTGATTAAAAGCAGCAAAACTCCAGACCGCTTTCCCACTTTCCCTCTTTTCACACACACGTACACACAAGGGGGAAAATGTGTTTGGCCGACACGGCTAACGGAAACAAGTGTTGATTAAAAAGAACATTTCAATAAATAACATAACTCGCTTCAGTCAAATAAGGAGTGATGGACAGCTGGAGATTGTGGTTAAAGTGTGAAAAAAGAAAGGAAAGGGAGAGGTGGACGAAGGGGGAGAGGTCTTTCTGTCTGTGTGTGTGTGTGTGTGTGTGTGTGTGTGTGTGTGTGTGTGTGTGTGTGTGTGTGTGTGTGTGTGAGCATGTGTGTATGTGCACAGCTGTGATAGCGTGACAACTGCAAGACTACTTGACTTGCGTGACTGCTGCTGCCAGAGTCTGTCATCTCTATTTTACTGCGAGACTATGCAGGTCTTTCCCTCGCGTGGGTGTGTGTTTGTGTGGTGTATATCCCCGTGGCGTCTAAATTCACACTCATACCCTCCGAACATTGATCTGATTGCTTTAGCTAGCAGTGTAATGCTCTCTGCACATGCTCCGTCCGAACTGTATAATACATTCTGATACCTGTGAGCACAGCGATATTTCCCAGAGGAGCTCGAGTCATACTGTGACAAAGCAACTGGACTACGATATGACAATATGTGGATGGGCAGGAGAGGGGAAGATGACTCAGGTTCTTGGGCAGTGTAGATACTGATGTTGTTTGACAAGTTCAACTGCCACATGTTCGTGACATCCATGTGGAGGGCGACCCCCCACAGACACACAGCTTTCTGCCGTAAGCCCTCAGAAATAAACAGTCTTAGGCAACAAAAGACATGCAGCACCTTTTGGACGGCTCTGAAGCTTTTGAAATGGACATGAGTTATCAACATAGATTAATGTAGTCTCCAATATTCTCAATATATTAGTCAGTTGGGGCTTTACAAACATCTGGTAACAGAATGTTTTGGAAAATCAATATTTTTATGAAAACACTGCTTTATGTCTTAATCCAACATGTCAACGTGGGGAATATGAAAAAGCTTTTTTAAATGACTCAGTCCAAATAATGGACTAAAAAAGGCCTTAAAAATGATTCGGTCCAACAAGGACATAAACAAAGGCCAACATTTACATGTTGAGTTTATTTAGGTTTTTTCAGAGAGTTCACCTTTATCCTTTGCTCTACAAAGCCACTGAAATGTCACAGTAAATGTCTGCAACCCAATTTCTTTGACATTTGTATTCTTCTGGAACGAAAAAGCCTTGGACTTGAGACCTAAAAAAGTGTGTTAAGGCAAAAACTATATTTTGTAGGATGATTATTGTAATGGCTTTCAAAATTGAAAATCTCAGCAATTATATTATAGATGAATACAGTGGATTTATTTTGGACTTGTCCAAAACTATAATGGGATCTTTTAGTTTGGAATAGGACAGGCAAAATGTCTATCAACTATATTTCTTTCCTTTATATAACAACTAGGCATAAAACCATGACATATATATATATATTATATTAATATTGGCTGCAAACTGTTTTTGTGTGTTTTCCGATACATATTTCCCTGTCTTTCCTGCATACTGAAGCCTTTAGGTAATGGAAACAGGCACCTTGTGCTGGCCTGCTCTGCCACATATCTGCATCCACTACACCCCCGGCTCCCATAACCGCCCCTACGAGACAGAAGCTTTGACTTAAACATCTTAAGAGGTGCTTTGCACGCAGAGCCTAAAATAAAATATTGGTTCGCTAGATTTGGAAGCAAGTGAGAGGAGAGTTTGGATTCGGGGGGGGGGGCTTGTCTCATTGTTTCTGGCTGTCAGAGGGAGATGAAAGCAGAGATGATGGGGTCATGACAAACATGGAGACCCTCTGCAACCAGGAACACACTCACATCCTACACACACTGACTGAGGTTAGAATAATATGGGTACGGATATTTTGAATGATATTTATGAAAGTTGGATATCAGCCAATGAGGGAAGCCACACTCACACATTAGAAATACATTACAGTGAGTCTTCCTATCAGTTGGTAAGTCCAGGGCTTTGGTCAAGTGATTGACTACATCAGGTCTCCCATCTGTACTAGTCAGTATTCAAAAATGTTTTATTATTCTTTTGTTGACACACCATCTAAGGCACTTTAACCAAGCATTTAAATAATCCATATTTGTTGTAAATTCATGGTGTTTTAACTTTTTCATAAAAAAAGTTTTTTTAATCCGCAGGTCTTTGGAGTTTAAATCTCTTCATTTAAATATATTTATACTGTACTTTAAATATATACAATAAATGATACAATGTATGGTATGTTGAACATTCCTATTGGTCAACACTTGCCCACACAAACACTATAACTCGCACATACAAATACATGCAATCCTACCACACACACACACACACACACACACACACACACACACACACACACACACACACACACACACACACACACACACACACAGCTCAAGCCGGCAGCATGTGTGAGTCCCCACCTCCTCCATCAGCTCTGACACTCCCGTCTCACCCTGGTGTCACGCAACACCACAGCTCCGCAAAGGAGGTCAGGGCAAAGGGCGCACACGTATTCAAATAAAACCTTTCCTCCTCCTCGATGACAATTCACCCTCACTTACTCACACTCAGACACAATTGGTCTCCTGATTGGTGTGTATACAAAAGATCGAAAATATCTTCGAAAGGCGACGTTAATCATATCACTAGCACTATGGTTCTAATGTACTCATTTGCTTTAAAAAGGCAGACACTTTTTCTTCACAGAATTGCACACACAAAGACAAAAGCCATGTGGTTTCTTACTTCCAGGAGGAGGCTGCTTTCATGGATGGTGGTGCCCGGTAGAGTGCTGTCTTTCCTGGGTTCAGGGTTAGAGGACGCTGTGCTGATACTTTGCTTCCTGGAGGGCTTCTCATTGTTCCCTATAAAAGAATAAAATAAACCGGTCAATTGGCTTATAGAGTGACTTGTTTATGTCGAAACAATGAACCGCAATCAGTTTTTCAGTCAGTGCAAATAAAAGAGCAGCCACAAACATAAACTGTTTTTATTAGCCTTATACAAGCAGGGATATGTGCTGATATATGCTGGGAAGTTATATCAAGCACACCTAATACAGACTCCTGTCAACACAGGAAAGTTGAGTATGATAACAATGTCCAAACGTACGCTCGTCAATTCTCCCTTAACCTTTATGATATGGCAGTAAGAGAATTGGACCGGCACTCGGACATGTGGCCGACACATTTACGGTAACACCAGGTATTAGTCTGTGAGCTGGGGCCGTCTAACAAGACCAAACATTAGAGGATTTCACGACTTTACAGGATTCTCCCCACACGATATAGCAACACGCACATGTAAAGCTCTCTAAGAGGGTGAGGTAGAGCACAGGATTTTGGTGCGTTTTGGGATGATTTTTGAAATGTTAAAATGGACTTATTCAAAGTGAAAAAAGGGTCTGCACAAATAAATATAATGCTGTTAAGATGGGCTTCATCCGCAAAACAGTGAAAGCTTTCTAGGTCCAACTTTTTGAGCTGCGTCTGACCTCTTTGTGGAGCAGTCCAGAACAAAAGGAACATTCTTCTTTGAATTTCAAAGAAGGGTCCTCTAAAGAGTCCTTAAACGCTAGATGAAGATTACTTAATTTTACTATTCTAATGAAGAATTGTATCTTTGCACACCGCACCACAATTCACAGCCCACCTGCTCTATTGTGCCATCTGATATTGAAAACATAAGAAATATCCACTAAAGTTATAAAAATACCGCAAAGTAGAGTAAGTCACGCTCCATCTATTACTTTACATATGCTGTGCTCTTTCCGTGCAGAGTAAGCACTACTACCTACTATCATGCCAGAGTGTGTACACATGCAATTAGCCTACACGACTGTGGCGTGCAGAACTGTCACATGTGCATCGGTGACGTGTGCGTTGCGTGTTGGATGCATGTTTGCGTGTTTCTCTTACGAGTGTGCTGTCAGAGGGCATGTGGCTCACTACCAGAGATCAGCCCTTTTTTCTCCATCACTCATTGTAGCAGGCAGAGATTAGTCACGCAACACACACACCACTGCCTCATTACGAAAAACTATCTAAGTATGTATGCATGTATCTTCCGATGCTTCGTATAGTCCCCACCCCCATCGGATAACCCCATTACGGCTTCCCCTACCTCCCCCTTTAACCTTCTACCATCTCCTATCCCCTGGTCCATCCCTCCCCCCCATCAACTCTTCATCTACCCTCCTCCTCTTCCTCATATCTCCGCCCTTTCTTTGTTTCAATCGGCATCGCAAGCCACGATTTTGTGATGCTGAAAGAGTTCCCCTTCTCTTGAATCCACTCCGAATCACGCGATGCCCCCGTTTAATTTCCCATCCATACATTTCCTCTGGATTAACTTTTTAATCACTTTTTTTCAGCAGTAGCTACATCCGTTTTATGAGCGAAAATAAAGGCTGTGTTCCTCTGCTTAAAATCAGGGCACGGGTTGATGACTACACTGACAGGCAGCTTAGTAAACTCATGAAGGCCAATCATAACGTTAAGTATTTTGTCATCACCTCCGCTAGGTGCAAACACACACAAATAAACAGACTCAGACAGCCACACACACACACAACCATTCTCTTCCATTACTGCAATATCATCCAACCGGTGGAAACTAATGCAGAGGGAAATGAGGCTAATAAGCCTCTTTATTTTCCTCCTTCAACGCCTCATGTATTTTTGTTTTCTCTCTTACGGCAGCTTTTGGAGAGGACGCAGCGTCAGGAAAGACAAACAGACGGGATGATTAATTATCGGCACTTCCCCTGCCGACAGTACGGCCTTTATTCATCCCCGCTCGTGTCTTCGGGTTTGCTTTTCTTTGCCTCTATTTTCTCCGTCTCTCTCTGGTCCATAAAGGAAAACAGAGTAGGTAATGGTGAGGCGTTTATGTGCTCTGCGTAAAGACAGGGTGTTAGGTAAAAAGTGACAAGAAGCGGGATGTAGATGCTGCCAATGGGTGAGGCTGAAAGTGTCTAGCTCCTTCTGCCGGCCAGGTCTGTCTTTCCACTTCCACTGAGAACACGAAAGGTTAGGACCACCCGCCAAACAGCAAGCTAGAGTGTCATTCAATCTGCACACTGCCTTGGATGAGGGACTATGGAGCGTGTGATGACATGAGTAGAGTTTGAGTCGTTGAAATGAAGAGATAATCTGATATTACAAAAGGGATTGAGATGGAATTGAATAGAAAACAGGAGAAAAGTCTTAAAGACTGCTTGTTAAACGTGATAGGAAAGTTATGTGGCTGAATTATTACATCAAGTGTTCCTGTTAGAGTTGTCCCTCATTTACAAAACTTCCGCTGGTGCTTGTGGTCAGAGACTAGGAATGAGCACATGAGAAAAAAAGTGTGTGAGTGTATCTAAGTGTGAGTTTAGGACACATTCCACATCAATCAGGAGTTTATTCGTGCAACCGCTAGGGGGTGAGGTGGCCCTTGGGCATATGGATTGTGTAGAGCACAGTCTGTGTGTTCTTCTGTTTTTAACACTGTCTCCTTTAAAGCCACTTCCTCCCGCTGCACTGATAACAGGCAAAAAAGAGAAATGTGAAGAAAAAGAAGAAACCTCCATATGGAGAGAGAGCGCTGAAAGGGGGGTCTCTGTGGACCTGTAGTGTCACCGACATGCTTTTATTCTGAGGATAATGGAGATCAAACACAAAGGAATGTCTCACAAAATGATAAGAAATTAATATTTCAATACAGTCCTGTACATTCGACATAGAGTTGGCATGGCATGACATTATGTTGCAGAGCACTGCTGAAAAGTGTTGCATGTCTCGGAGTGCTTTATAAATCGTGAGTACAAGAGTAGCATGCGTTTTGAACCGAATGGTAGGTGATACTCCAGGCCCATTCTTTAGATCATGCTCCTATCCAGAACAATGTGCAGCGGGGGGACAGGTAAGTGTTCATACATGGCTGCTCATAGTCACAACACCAGCTGCTGCACGGGACCTCTCCACCTGCATGCACTCTCCAAATCCATTCAAACAGGTGGTTATGCTGCTTTAACTTTTTAATATTTCTACACATGTCATCGCTCATACCCTGCTAGTTTCAAGTCATTTATGGAAATAAATACAAGACAACCTCCAAAATGATGAAGCACTGTTGTAGACTAAGCTACCAAACCATAAACAAAGGAGTTGTAATTAGCTCCACATTGACCAAATATAACAGTCAAATGTGTCTTATGCATTAAGACTTAATAAAATACTATAATAAGTCATTGTTACACTTGCAAGTGCTATTTTACTGCATTGTGATATACATTTTTTTTGATACTACATTCATAGTTTTATTCAAGCAACACTTTTGAAACTTGACTTTTTTTCCATCAATGGAAAATCCAAACTTAAAGGAGAAATGTATTTATTTTCTATTAAATGTCTAAAATGCCTGAGTGACACATCCATGCTCTCGTTCTGCCATCTTTTGGCAGCTGATCCTCTGCTGTGCGTTCGGCTTGTATAGGGCTCCGGACTTGAACATGTGAACACTGCGCAGCACAGCAGCCCCTCCCCTCCCACAAGGCTTGCGTGAGTAGAGAAAACTGTGTGTGTGTGCATATGTGTGTGTTGAGGTTGGGTTGGCTTACAGCCACTTCCTTTGCCTATTCCCGCCCCCTTCCCTCAGCGCTCTTCTTCTCTGTCTCTCTCTCTCCCTCTCTCCGCAGGCACAGGAAATCCACAGCAGAGAGAGCAGCACCAACACACACACACACACACACACACAGAGGGAGAGAGAGAGGGGGAGAGAGAGAAAGAGAGAGAGAAGCTGGCTGATCAAGGGCTGGTTGTCACGCGAGCGAGCCGTCTGTCAATCTCCCCCCCTTCCTCCTGACAGGGTGCTGGCGGCTGGCCAAGGCCTTGCGTGCAAGCCGGCGAGCCACATTAGCCCATAAAGAATTTCATAATAGCAACAGCTGTTAAATATTGATGACTGCTGGCAAGCGCTCAATGGTGCTTCGCAAAAAGGTTAAGCCTGCGCTGTAATGGAAGCTAATACTTCATTATGCCACAGATCAAATGTCCGGATCTCGGCCTGTCCAAATCCAACTCGTACCATTTCAACTTTTTTCTTGTTTTTGCAATGTGGCAGAGAAGGGGACTCACTGAAAGAAAGTTTAAAGGACTTTCATAGTTTTGTTTGAAGACAAACAGGAGCTTTTGTTTAACTCTGTTCCAGTTGGTGGATATATAAAGAATGCATTAAACTACAATCATCAATAAACCTTGATACAAACGTTGAATCGGTGTATAATCTTTCTGATCTGTTTTGGATGAGATTGTTTTGTTTCCACTCTGACATATAAGATTACATTTCAAGGGATTGACTGCAGGGATTTAGAGCAATTCCCTTTGAACAAAACAACGTGTACAAAAATACTTTTCTTGGAATCGCAAATATGTGTCTTTCAGAGGAGATTAAAACGTGAGTGAGAGATTATGTTTGAAGGGGGTGTGTATGTGGAGTTGCTAGGGGAAGTCTATCTCTAGAAAAGAAACCTTGAGAAGAACAAAACAACAGCCTTGGTACTGATGTAAAGGGGAAGTGATATTATGACAAAGCAAAGAGATCACATAGATCGGCGGTAAACTCAATTGTTTCCACTTCTCTGTTTTGGTTGGCAAGCAGACACACAAGTCGTCACCATGCTGTAAAAGAGTGATATGTCTCCACACATGAGACCTCGGGCAAAACAGACTTGTATAGCAACTGCTCCACAGTGTACTGCTACTGTATGTGGCTTGACTTCATAAAAGAGGCGCCATGCACTCTTTGCATACACAACGCTGGAGGAGTTTTACAGCGATCATAATATGAAAGTAATCTAATTGCTTCTATAAATAGAGAACATGACTGATTGTGGCGCACATGTTTAATGTGAGCACGATGTTT